CCTTTATATACAGCTCTGTACTAAGCAATATTTCATTATCTCAATTTTAGACAAAAAGCTGTCACAATATGTGGACTTCATGAAGAAGAATTATCCTCCGGGTTTCACTTACCAGGATTTTGCACATGACTTCACAGCAGAGTTTTACAACCCTGATGAGTGGGCAGAAATCTTTCAGAGCTCAGGAGCAAAGTATAGTATTTCATCATATACTGCAACACCGGATAATAAACGGTGGGAAAGCATGATGTAAAAAGGCATATGCAAAGCACTGTCATCTTGGCAAGAAACCACACCAATTACAAGTTATTCTAATGGAAGATACAAGAATATAGAGTAAACAATTAAGAAAAGTCATTAAAATTATTGTTCCTCCACATATTGTTACAAGTCATCTATGTTCCACTTTCTAGGAAGCAAGAACACTGTTAAGTGTTTCTTTTTGTATTAATAAAATACAAAAAGAAATTATGGTAAACGGTGCAGCACAATATTTGTTTCTAAATTTGGTTATAAACTTTTTTCTTCTTCTGAAATACAAATTGCGTGGAGTTGACATCAACCAGTCACTAGCCTCTAAAATAAAATAAATAAAATATGTTAATATAATAATCATCTGAACACAGGAGAGACATACCTGCATTTTCTGAATGTGGATGTACTGTTCTCTGTCTTGTCTTACACCCTGAAGATGGAGGCAGTAAACACATCTGAATCGTTAGTTATTTCTACCAGAACAGTGGGTGCAATATCCCAGAAAGCATTGATCTTCATACTTGTTGCCATGAGAACTTGAAACCTTACTCACTACACATTTTTACAATAAGAAACAACGCATTAATGTACAAACACTTAACACATCATTGTAAGCAAATGGAAATATTATGCTTTGGGGACATACCAGAACCTTGGTTTCCATTTAGTTCTTTTAATAAGGAACATTTTATCTCATCTGGGCCAAATTTAACCTAACCCTCTTTTCTGTAATATCAGAGATTTATGCTTAATAATTTTCTTTAAGCATGTCATTCTGATAAGTGTGCATTCATAGGATTGCTGTGTATAAACGTTTGATTTATAATATGCAAACATGATGGAAATTAACGTCATCTTTTTAGGAAAATATTATATGATAGAGCACTTATTATTCATGTTAGACAGACTGTTTCAGATGTGGTGAGGAGGTGGAAGGTATTAAAGTGAGTTACCAAGAGTCTTTGATACAGTACATTTATTATCCATGTCAAAAATAATTTTACAAAGAACACAGAGTGAAAAATATAAAGTATCAAGGCTAGAAGCATGTATTATAGGGTAGAAATATTTTCTAAACTATTCTTCCACAACTGCTCATCCCTTTTCGATCTATCTAGTACTGTATTACAGGTATGTGGTGCTAACCAGCAAACATCATGAAGGCTACACCTTGTGGCCATCCAAGACAGCTTTCAGTTGGAATGCTGTGGATGTAGGTCCACACAGGGATTTACTGGGTGAGACTACATTGCTTGGCATAAACATGGTTCCATGCTCACTGTACTGACACATGACTTGAACTGAGGTAGAACAGAGCTGAATGCAGCCCATTTGCTTTAGGCCTGTAATGTTTATTTCAAGATGGCATGTTAATCTAATATAAAATTGTGCACAAACTATCTTAACTAACACAACAAGCTACATAGATATTGTTCAATGAAACTCTGCTTCCACCATTACCTGACTCTAGTACGGAAATAGACAATGGAATCTTCACTTAGTGTTTTTATGGAATACATTACTCTTAATGGTGAATAATCTGTTAAAACAACAAATACCAGAGCTGTCGGCAGTAAATTTTCAAAATTCAAAAGCACAGGAATAAACATCTTTTTAAGTTGATTCAAAAGCACAGGAATAAACATCTTTATGAGCTTTCTGAATGTGGCTTTTTCCTCTTTTCAACAAAAGTATTATCTTGATGGGGGGGAGGTAATTCACTTTACCAATCACTTATGTATATTGCATTCTACACTACTGGATTACAAAGATGGAGAAGACAGCCTTTCATGAAATTTCATTGCTAGTAAATACTGTGGCTATGCATGAAATGCTTATCACAGTTCAGAGTCAGAACAACAGTGTAACAAAAAGTAAACTGTTAATGTCGTACTAGAACTGTATGTATGTTGTATGTCACAGGGGAACTGTCACATTCCATTCAAGCAAAGACAGACCTGAAGTTTGGAATATATCACTCTTTGTATGAGTGGTTCAACCCATTGTATCTACAGGATAAGGAAAACAATTTCACTACACAGCTATTTGTGAAACAGAAGACCATTCCAGAGTTGTATGAACTGGTATGCATTACTGAGTGTTCCAAACAATTTAAATAATCCTTGTGTAACTTTTTATATTACACACATTTCACAATTTGAACTGACAGAAAGAGGTCTCTGACTGAAATCAAATTTGTGTCACATACCTCATAAAATCACTCTGCACGTATGGCAATATTAGTGTATGGGTCAGAATTACTGCCATTTCTCACTCATTACCATTCATATGAACTATGGTGACAATTTTGCAGGTGCAGAACTACCACCCAGACATAATCTGGTCGGATGGTGAATGGGAAGCAACAGATGAATATTGGACATCCAAAGAATTCATTGCTTGGTTATACAATGACAGCCCAGTAAAGGACACAGTTGTAGTCAATGATCGCTGGGGAAAAGGTGATGTTGGCAAGCATGGTGACTACTACACTTATTCTGATCGTTACAATCCAGGTATTTAACACTGTTCAGTTTCCTCACACAAGATGTTATGACAAGGTCTTCAGTAGATTTAACTGGAAATATTATTCCTTCACCACAAGTTCATGTTTTCAGGAGTGTTACAGCCACATAAATGGGAGAACTGCATGACAATTGACAAAGAATCATGGGGCTTTCGCAGAAATGCCAGGCTGTCAGATTACCTTACAATGAAAGAACTTGTTCAGACACTGGCTGAGACTGTCAGCTGTGGAGGTATGCTTACAAATCAGAAAATAATTATATTTGACAAAAATCATATCTACAGGTGTTAAAAAAACCATAACAGAAATAACACATGAATCAAAAATCACCATCAAAAATGGACACCTCAAGTTTGAATCCACTTTAGCAGCTGATATCCAGGGCTTGTCAAAAAGCTAGTAAATTACTAAAGAATTGTTACTGAATTATTTACGATCAGGGCAACAACTTAAGAAAAATATTACTAAACCAATACTATTATTTTTTACCTCTTTTTGAAGAAACATGTATGATATATTGTAGTTTATACTACTGAGCTTTAAAAGTGTCAGTTTTATTAAGGCAATTTCTCCAACAAACATATATGGAGATAACACAGAAATACTGGCATATCGTAACTTGTTAAGTGCAAAGACAGATAATTTGTAAATAAAGTGATATATTAAACATCCACATTCTATTCTAATGTATAAGGTAATCTCTTGATGAATGTTGGACCTACCAAGGATGGGGTCATTGATCCAATTTATGAAGAACGCCTCAGAGGTATGGGTGCCTGGCTTAAAATCAATGGAGAGGCCATATATTCCAGCAGACCCTGGACTTACCAAAATGACACTCTCACTTCTGGAGTGTGGTGAGTACAAATACATTTTCAGTGTTAAGCCTCTGCATACACTACAGTGGAATTTATTTGTATATGATCTTTATAAGAGTCATGATTGTACAACACTGAAACCAAACGTTACGGTCGAGTGGTTAACACACATACTTTGTATTCGGGAGGTCCTGGGTTCAAAACTTGGCCCAGACACCGGCTATCCATAATGGGGATTTTCGTGGTTTACCTCAGTTTTTCCACGCAAATGACAGGATAGAACCGCAAATTAGGCCATGATCGCTTCCTTCCACATCCTTTCCAAATCATCCTCTCATTCAACGCTATATAGTCTGAGCTACTGAAAAAGTGTTGTTAAATACACAAAAAAATTGCAACACTGTAAACAGCACAAAGTGGTTAGTGGTGGCAACACAAGTTAGGAAAATACCTGTTATCAACCACAATAACCAGTCTACTGGCATTTAATTAGTCACACAAGAAAAGCAATTCCAGTCTCTTATGGTGAGTCATTATACAATCAAAAGACATACATATATAGGAAGGTTAATATGAAGATATGCGAACTCTGTTACTCAAATGTTTCGTTTGAAATATGGAAGTCAAAATTCATCATATTATAGTACTACTATATTTAATCCACCTTCTGTTTTTAAAATATGCATATGAACTTTGTGGACAGCAAAAGTATTCAAAGGGAATAACTGTGAACCACAATACCTTATCACATTATTCTAAACTACTTTTACTACACATTTTAGTCAGACTGAAGTTTCACAAGTTACATAAGGGTAGGGCTGTAATCATGTTTCAACTGTAAATGTTATATACCATTAAATCAGATGGGAATATAATCATGAATGGGAAGTACATAATGGTTGTAGGAATTGGTGTCTTTGGTATATCTGAAGGCACAACAGTTCTATGCAGGTCAAAAAACTTCTTTCACAGGCCAGATACACCACTACTTCAACATATGATCTTGTGGTTAGCATATAAGTTTAATGTTCGAAATGTTCTGGATGTGATCTTGAACACTGCCAATAATATAAATAATAAAAACAAAACATGCAAGTATAATGCCAGCCAGTCACATGAAAACAAGAGTACAGTCACTTCCCAAAACATAAAATGTAAGAAATATACATAAAATAATGGACAATATCCAAAATAATTATAGTGTAATGAATTAATCATTATCACAAACTATTAGGAAATATTTCCAACAGTCATGTTCAAAAGCACAACTTTTCATGTTGGCAGGTACACAAAGAGTGGCAGTAACGATGTTAGTACTGTTGTGTATGCCATTGTACTGAACTGGCCAATACTTGGAAACCTTAAACTACGCTCACCACAGCTGGTCAAGGAATCCACAATCACTCTTCTGGGATACAGTCAAGATTTACAGGTACAGAACTGAAAACCTCAGAAAGCTTACATATAAGTCCACAGCATAGGATTTTCCAGAATAGATGTTCTGCTTTTCAAGAAATTTCCTGCTCTCATCAAATCAAGTTCTATCATCATCTTAAAAAAATGTACCCCTCTACCGTGTACATGTCAGTAAAGTAACATTTGCATATACTTACTGAGGAGTACTTCTTTTTAAAGAGAAAGTATTGTCAAACTTGGAGGAAAAGAAATGAAAATTCTAAGGTCTGAGGACTAGGATGTCAGGTCATGCATGACTTCTTTCCATCAGTAACTATCCCAGTATACCCTGCGTTTCTGTAAGAAACATGAAAAATCTTGAATTTAAGTCAACACCTTTCTAAGTACACAAAACACAACTACTGTTATCATAATTTGCATTTATTTAGAATAAAAATAAAACAGGATTTCCCACTTGGCATCTGTAATCACAAAAATACCATCAGGAAACATGGTCATCCAGTATGTAATGTTCTTTAGTCATATTAAAGAAAAAACCTCATTAAATGTAGCACTTACTTTGCTGAAAGTTTGATAAAGAATCTGAAAGCAACAAAAACTGAGTATATGTTCTGGATATTGAATGTTTGGACAGGTGAGATATGTTATATACCAGTGGGTGAGAAGTATACATTGACCATTTGATCAAGTTTTCTATTCAGTGTTAACTTGAATGTAAATGAATTTTCATTCTTTGAGAAAAACTTGATATGATACACATAGCTATACAGCTCAACCCATAACGGACATATGATTACTGTGTTGTATTCACACCTACTATCCTTTCTATAATTACTAATCAACAGCTGTACTGAGTTTACATGGAATTAAAATTCTTTACAGTGGGTGTCCAGAGATGGTATTCAGGTACAGCTCCCAGACAAAGCTGCTGTTGCAAGTGAATTGGCTTGGGTACTCAAGATAACAAATGTGACAAACTAAGGCTGTATCAGAAGACAAATACATTACAATTCTATTAGGTACAAAGAGTAATTCAATTTGAAATAGAATTTAATAAAATAATCTTACTAAATTTATCACAGTATATGTGGACATAGTCATACATATTTATTCAATATAATGTGGTATATATAACCTACAGCAATTTGTATTCCCTTTCATACATAAAATAAAGAATGACAGTCAATTCAAATACCTAATGGAAGACTAAAGAATTATACAATTATTTTTGGTCTTTTATTGTGCTAATTGTTCTGTTGTACTTAATCCTCACACTTTTTAATTTGGGGGGGATGTGTGATGGAGATGTGTTAGATCTGTAATACATTTTCAAGAACTAAATCAACTCTTTACCTTACATAGGCTCAACCAATATATATATATGTGTGTGTGTTCATATGGGAAGCTGTTGTATCCAAGAAGAGCCCTAACGGGAGGGAAAATAAAAATAAATGAAGTTCTGCATCAGTCATCATCTTTTGGTAGCTTCTTGACATTCACTGTTCTCACTTATCATATTTTCATATTTTAACTAGTACATGCCCATAAAGTTTTAATTTTCTTCAATTTATTTTTCAAAATTTGCTCTTAATAATTATATTGTATGGTTAATAATTAATGTAAGTATATTCAGTTAGATCACCAAGTATTACATGCAGAGTACAGATGATATGAGGCCATACAAACAGATAAAACAACAAACAGGGGTATTTTCCCCACGTACAACAGCTTCATGTATAACAATTAAAGGTTACAAAATAATTTTTGTTTTCATTCGTAAAATAGATAGAAATTGGCATCTTCAGTCCTTTTTTCAAGTTCTGGATCATAATATCCAGTGAAAAAATAATATTGCTGAAGTATAAAGATACAATACTGTTATTTATTATTAAAATACCTTACATTCAACAGTCATAGCATCATGTTCAATTTACCAGAGAATGCATGTAAACATGAGAGGAATCTTTGCTTCTACAGTTGAGCCACTTCATACAGATAAGCTCCAAGCAACTTAGTCTGTAACAAACAATATATATGACATGTTTTAATTAGCCTGACTAGCTTCTTAGGTACACCAAATTCAAGCAAAATATTGTAAAGAACTTCTCTTTTAACTGAGTCATATGCTTTCTTTAAGTTATACATAGTTGATGGACTGTTCCATTGTAATTACACTTTTTCTCTAGTATCTGGCAAATGTAGAAAATGTGAACAGTTGTAGATCTAATGATGGAACCCACACTAATTATCCCCAATAATCTCACTAGCATATGGAATCAGCCTCGCCAGAAGAATGTTGGATAAGATGATGGATGACAGCATTCATAAGTATAATTAAATAAAGAAATATGTGGAGATGTCCAAAGCAACAGCAACAGATTTGGAATAGGCAAAAACTGGGGTCCCAAAAGCATGAGGCATTATGTGTTGGCTCTACACTACATTAATAATAACAACAAGTAGACTACAAAAGTTTCCATTTCTTTTGAAAACAAAATTGACCAAAATATCAGGACAGCTCCTCTGAAATATCTGTCAATTTCCATGAGACTACATAGTGCAACGACCCAGATGACCATCTTCAAATTCTCAAAGGCTTCCAATATCATCATACAGGTAATTTTCACCATATAAAATTAAGAATCATGCAAAATTTGTAAATAATGGCTGGAATGTTACTGACATGAAATCAAAAACACTTCACACAGCCACTGCTCGATTGTTCACAAAAATTACCATAACAAAAGATGCTTTAAATATCTAACATTAAACATTAGGATTCTGTATAAAACAATGTTGACATTACTTCCACCTTAAAGTTTGGAATCATTAATGGCAGGAATATGAAGAATGTGATAGCTTATCTACCTCTAATATTACTATGAAGTTTTATGAAAACAGTCACTTCATTAAAACATTATTGGGGGAAACACAGACAGCATGCTCACCCTACGAGGATATATCTGCATTATGAAATCAGCTTAAATCCGAACATGTTCTCCAACATCCCTACATATCACTCAACACATGTATATTTTCATATATGAGAAGCAGAAACATTACCCCTTCTATGTAGTTCCGAATATCAATTTTCTCATTTTGGGAATGGGCACCATCATCTCCAGAACCTAAAGGCAACAGGATTACACTCCTTCCAGTCATTTCCTACAAAAGAAAACAAATTCAAAGTGCAAATTGAAGTAATATTAAGAGGGTGACACAACAAGGGATTTATAACTGAATACTACCTTCCTACCTGAAAAGTAAGGGTAACAGGAATTGAGCCTCCTTCTCTGGTAAAGTCTGGGTCAACACCATACACATGTTTGGTTGCTTTGCGGCCTGCCACGTAGTTTGGGCCATCAGGATCTGATAGCCAGGGACGGCCTCCGTGATACATATATGCCTACAACAGTGACCAGCAATCATGTTTGTATTAGCACATATGTCTTCCAGATACAAACATGCACATATGTGGTTACACATGTATATTGAACACACACACACACATTAAGAATACAACCAACCAAGAGATGTGTAAAATGTTATTTCTGTAATGCACCACATCCATCCCTGATTAAGCAGATACAGTCAGTCTCCAAAATGTTAAAATATTTACTGCACATAAATATGGCAGATTGCTTAAAAATAATTAATTACATTTAAGTGCAATGACAATTACATATGTTTAGTGTCTTTATATCTTATTTCCAATTATGCTCTCAGAATTAACTTTGTCAGCAAGCACTGCTCACTTTTCTAGACACAACAAAATTGGCTTGACCAAAGTACTTCGGTAGATGGGAGAATAACATTAAAATGAATCATGAAGAAAAAAAGTTTGAAGAAGCAGAGTGGATTCATCTGGCTCAGGATAGTGTCAAATGGTAGAGTCCTGTAAACACAGTAAAGCTTCATGCACTATGAAAGGTAGAGAATTTCTTGACCAAGAAGTAACAATTTTCAGTCATGATGCATTTCTTGTCATAGCTGTTACATTAATGGCTTTCCACTGTAGTTAACAATTGCTACCAGTCTTTTTACAAATAGTAGAGTAACAGAAGCAATACACATACCTTCATTTTGTTAGTGCTACCCCTAACTTTCCACTGCTTGTTCAAGTAGGCCACAACTACCTGTTCCACTTTCTCTGGTGTCTGATTTGGAACAATGCGGATTGAAAACTTTCCAATGACCTTTCTTGGTATTACAGTTTTGCAGCCTGGTTCACTAAATGCTCCCTCAATACCATGAAGTGACAATGACGGATACCGCCAACGGTGTTGAAGTAACTTTACCTTAAAAAACAAAGAAAAAACTTCTGATGATAGAGACAAAGAGTGTCTCTGAAACAATGGATTACTGCTCCATCTTGGCATGACTTGTGAAAGCTTCATGTCATAAAAAAATTTCACTTGCCATTTTGAATTTTATAAACAGTAACAACTCAAAATGTATATTTAATAACTGAAGGCCAATGTTTTACTAAATTGTGCATTTATGATTTAGACCAAATGGTGGCTATTTTATGTTCCTCAAACTACTACATGAAATAAGTAACAAATGAGCATCATATTCAGACCAAATTAGCTTGTTCTCACCAAATATATTTATCTGCACCATGTTTTTATACTTTAACATCTGTAACATCAAGAGCTGTTTGATTATGTATAATGAGAAAATTATCTTCTAGGCTTTCGTGTTTACATTACCGGCAACACCATTCAGTGTATTTAGACTGAAGTTGTGAGGACTATTTTTCTGCATGACATTTCACATGTTACTGAGTAAAATTAAAAGCAAAAATATGTAATTATCACCACAGATATTTATGTTTAGGAAAATTAATACAATGTCAGATTAGAGAAGATAAATTTCATTACACTGATCAATGTTCTGTGACAAGCATTAATGTAAACAAAACCCTAAAAACAAATGATACAGTAGGGACCCCCGCCGAAAAGCGAAAATCGCCGAAAAGCGGATCTTTGCCTTTTTTCCAATTGCAAATGCATATCAAAGCCTAATACGATGTTTACACTATCATATAGTAAGTGCACAATAGCGCTAGGCCTAAAAAAACGATATGAAATAAAATGAATATCAGTAGTAGCTGTAAACAGACTGAATCAGTGACGAGAAAATGGCTCCGGACACACTTCTCTGACTCAGCTGTTGAGTGCGTGGGGCATATGCACACAATTGAAAAGCGCTGTATTAGCAGATCACCGAAAAGCGGGGCCCTACTGTACAGATTACGTTTTGTTTGCATCTTCATGTGCTCTCTACATGAAGTGGATACACTGAAAAAACATATTATTACAATAAACAGGGTAACCACTAATTAAGGATATAATTTAATATATTGTAATATCAAACCTTATCTTCTCTGTGCAACAGCTGCTGAGTTCCGATACCTGCTTTGTATTCTGCCACATCAAAATCTATGGTATCATATAAAGCTGCCTCCTTGGGTGTAACTTCCGCAACATCATCATGCAAACCAGTCACAAGAATCTTGCCATCCTTATCCACCAAGGTATTAAGGAGATGTACTAAGTCAGTCACTGCCTCAGGCCTACATACCAGCACACAAAATTAAAGAACTCCACTAAATCAGTCTATGGAGCAGATTTCTTGAGAAGCTGCCTATCTACTACAAACATACAAAACTGACAGAAATATGGGAAACAAAAATAAAATTAAACTTACACATTTCCACCAAAGGATCCACTATGAAGATCCCTACTAGCACATTCCACTTCAACTCCAAAATAACAAACACCACGCAATCCATACGTAATGCACGGCTTCTTAGTACCCAACCAGTAGTTATCTGAGATGCAAACATAATCCACATCGCTGAGAAATGTTTTTTGCTTCTTGGCAAGTAATTCATCCAGTCCTTCACTACCAGATTCTTCCATTCCTTCAAATACAAACTGGAAGGGGGAAAACATAATAACTCAGCAACCTTACACTATACACAATAGAGTGCAGATTTTTATTAGGCATTCTTTATGTTTTAGCATATGCGAAGAACATCTTAAGAGCTCATTCAATCAGTTCCCATTATAAGACCGAGATAGATTCAGCTTTCTCATATGACAGAAAACAGATTTTTGCAACCATCAGTTTGCCCGTCACTTGACACTGTCTCATATGGAAGCAAAAGAGACTACTGATATGGATACTCTTCTATTTCCACAAACTGTGTACGATGTTAATACTAATGGCTATAAGGCACATTAAAGAGACTAATACCTGCAAGGCATTCCGGAAATACAATATCTGTGGGCCAAACTTGCAGCAATAAAGGACAAACAATGACTACTATATGTGCAATTCATAAGAAGAGCACTCTGTGGACTTAAGCAATTATAAAGGGATCGGAGGAAAAAGATATATTTCTGCCAGGATTATAATTGTAAACATACAATTATAGAAGAACAGATATAATGTGACAGATTCCTAAATAATCATAGATATTGAGGAGGATGTAGAAAGTTCTCCAAGTGAATGTGAGTCCAACAACTTCTAAATTTTAAAGATACTGTGGCAGGATTTCTGCTATTTCAACATGTTATGAATTCCTATTTCACACAGTTTTGATAAAATTTCCATTTAATGAAATTAATTCAGAAATGTCTGATTGCAAATACCTTAACATTAACAGGTATGTCATGACCGGTGGCCTTAAACGCTTCTAGGGCATGAATCCAAGCAATAACTGGACCTTTGTCATCAGTTGTGCCTCGACCAAACAGTTTTTCATCCCTCTTAGTCATCTCAAAAGGTTCAGAGTCCCAGCCATCACTTTTTAATGCTGGTTGGACATCCAAGTGTCCATACACCAAAACAGTCTTCTTCTTTGAATCTTTTCCCAGAGTGCCAAGAAGGGCAGGTGGAAGTGGCAGCTCTCCTCCATCAGGTAGAACCTACAGATAAATCACACATTACATTAACTGATCCTCATAATGCAGCAATATAATATGTCAGTCACAATTATTTATGTGAATGTACATTATTGCATCTATAAACATTTTCCAAAAGACAGCAATGTATGCTGCTCATTATAAATTTTAACTGGAGGTGATAAGTTGCACTCAATATAAGTGTTGCAAGTAGATAAGAAAAATTTAATATATTAAAATCTGAGACCATGGCTAATCAACTACACAGATAACTGGGCCCCAGATAATTGAAGATCTACTGTTTTCTATCATCACATAGAAGCATGCCCTTTCCTGACCCGTCTGTGGAAACACTGAAGCTAATTAAGAAAACTGTTATTAAAAGGATCCCTGCTCTCTCATAACTGATAACTGAAAAATTGTAACAGTGTTCCCGAATAATTTATAAATACCATACTTAGGGATAACACACCTGTGTACCAAGTTCACAGAGTTCAACATCTGTGCCAAGTTTCTCGAGCCTGCTTTTAGTCCAATTTACCATTCTGATTATTTCATTCCTCTTATGTGGCCATGCTGACACTGATTCAATGGCAACCACTTCTTTTAAAGTTGCTATGTATTTGTCCTTGTTTTTACCAATATGGCTGTACAAAACAAAATTAAAATACATGAAATACAAGACTCCCTTTGCACTGGGAACACTTAATGACATTCATAATTCTTGCCCTTAGGCTTCTGAGGCTGGATTTTAATGTATAACTCAGTCTCAGGGATAAGCAACTTCAATTGTTCGACGCTTTCCACTTCAACACAACAATTTCCATCATCTGAGGGGTGAGTAAGAAATTTAAAAGTGTTGGAATTATATAGCATTAATAACAATTTGTGATGATAATGAATAAAAGCGAAGAGGAACTGGAAAGAAATTACTGGTAACCAATCTGAAACATTATTTCAATATATTCTGGAACCAAGCAGTACAACAATGAAAATTTGTTCTGTACTTTAATACCTGAAAAAAGACTTCACCTTTCACCCAGCAATAACAATCCTATAACTACCCACATAATATACTAAAAGGTTTTCTTCATTATTATTTCATTTCAAGTTCATGAGTTGCCTAGCTCAGAAAACTAACCACTGGCAGGTTCTTGACAACATAGTAATGTTCAATTCTAAAGGGTTTTGATGATGGTAGATTACACTTAAAATTATTCGTTGTCAGGACTTTTTCCATTGTCCAGTGACAGAGACTAGCTCTAAGGGACCCAACAGAGTAGGTACCTCTCACCTGAAGACGGAGACAGAACCAGCCTCCGAAACGCCGAGGGTTTTAAAGAATAGATGATGTACCTATGAGTTTCACAAAATGCAGGAAATTTCTTAGCAAGTTGGGTGACTCAAATTTCTATGTTCCAAGAAGTTAGTTTGAGTTCATGAGCTGTGTTCAAATTGTCATATTTATCAGCATCCTTGGTCAGCAAACACCATGTGTCATTTAATCATAAATCTTCTCTTCTTTAAGGAAAGTCTTTAAATGCAGTTAAAATAGGCATACCTCTGCTTGAAATGGGAGAAGTATTACATAAGTACTATAATGGGGAGGAAAAAACACATGCTAATCCACAAAACTTTAAGACATAGGGTCCAACACTTCGGCATATCTCTGTTTCATCTAGCAAATTCTGATTCAGTTCAAATATGCTACAACTGCTACATTCATCATTTTATCATTACAACACAGTAGCAAATATTGAGAATATCAAACACAGACTTTACGATTTACTGCCCCAACTTCAAAATAAAAAAATAAAATATTACTCACTTGAAAATATCCTTCAGTGTGTTTGGGAGTGCCATCTTTGCTTCTGATTACTTGCTTCGCCTATCCTGAACAAGATAATAAGAAAAAAACGTAACACTACAGCATATCTCCTTTGTAAACAGATACTGCTATAGTAAGATTATAATCTTATCTGTAAGTCACCACAGCTCCACAACTGAAAAGCAAACATAAATTCCTGAACTTCGTTCTCATTTTGCATATACTGCTACACTGTAATTAAATTCGTATTACATCTGTTAACAGTACGCACTCATATTCAGAAAGTGCCCCACACACAGCAAAAACCAAACTCCATTACAAATAAGCGAGCAAAAATATTGCAAACAACATAAATTCAATCGCTAATTAATAAAATACACGTAATTTTCGGAGACATACCTCTAACGAACATCCATTAACGTAAGTACATTCACCGAAACGATTACTCCTTCACCTTAAACAAGACATACCAACCACCACAAACAACTCACATTCGCAGAATAACCAGAGAAAGAAAACCAATACTATTATAGATCAACGCGGAGCCGTGCACATTGTCCTGCGCCCAGTGAGCAATTCTGAAGGAACACACATTGGAGACATCACAGTAGCCCAGTTGGTAAAAAGATTAATTACGGTTCAACATAAAAGATTCCTCTTCTCCTACTTCACCAACACCCGACGCCATTCAAGGCTATTAATATACCGTAGAAAAATTTCGTACCCCGATATAGTAAGTAATCTATGCCTCAATTGGATATGCGTATAACAATTTTCACATAACCTCTATCCATCAGTTGAACACTTCAACCAAATATGCTTATAAAATATTTGAAATTGGTTTAACGCACGGAAGGTAGCATCCATTCTAAGCCATTACTGTTCAAGGTCTAATAAATGGCACTGCTACAACCACACCCTCTACTGGAAAGGGCTAGGGCAGGTATGAAGGCCCCTTTCTAGCAGTTACAATATGAAACTATGAAGGCCTTTATATACTCGTTATAATAGGTAGGAATGGAGGATTCCATGATGCCCATGAAAAAGACAGGCATTGATGCCTGCATATAGCCATTATAATAAGCATGCAGGCAGACCTCTATTGTATCCATAGAAGGCAGGCATTGAGACCACTATATATACATTATAACAGACACGTAACAAGGTCCCTATACAGCCATTACAACAGACATGTATGAAGGCTTCCCTATGGACACTACCATAAGAAGACAACCAGGCCCCTCTATAGCCATTATAATAGGCCAGCACATAAGTCAGCCACACCACCAGCCAATTATAATGGCAAATGCAACATCATTGATGTCCTGGTGAAGAAGCCACTGACAATATGCCATCCTAACAGGTTTATCATGTTCTGCATCCCAGCAGAAGGTGATTGCTTTGAACAACAGCTGTAACTTTTGTAAAAGTTATCAGTAAACATATTTGCTCAAAACTCATTCAGTCATTTGCAGTCCTAAATTCATATGAACTTTTCCATCATCCCCACCCAAACCAGATGGTAGGTGTTTGACCCAACCTTATTTGAACATTGTGTATAAGGGCATCCATACCAACCACAGCCATATACAGATCTATGATTATCATTTTTATATAGGCAATTATAGCAGTCACATAAAGGACTACTATAGGAGCCAGAAAGAGGGCTACCTCTCTGGTCATTACATAGGCTACCATAGGAGGAATAGCTTCACACAAATCTGATATATTTTGTTTCCATCTTTAATAAAGTTAAAAGCTATTTACATACCTAAGTAATAGCTACAATAAAGTATTGATATAAATAATGTTTATTTAAATATCTTACTCTTTTTCACAACACCAGTGCATGTTTAAGTCTAACCAAGAACTGCATTAAAATTAAATAATTTAATTACTATAAAAAGCATACCCTTCCAGGTTCCTTATAGGACTGATAAGGTATTCTTTGCATACTAACCTATTTATTTAATGTAATTTTGCTCTTAGATAATAAAATATTGTAACCAATTATTTTCTAAAGTTTTACATTTTAACAACAGACCTAATGTACAGCATATATGTTATGTATTGGTTTTATAATTCATAATTTAAATATTAATATATCATAAGCCACACAGAGTTCAATAAAAACTTTGCATACCACCTGAAGATGGTCTAAGTTAGACCAAAATATTTTGTTGTATTGTGAAAAAGAATAAAATTAAAATAAAAGTTGTATAGACAAATATTATTTATATCATTGCTTCTTTATTTAGCCTGTCAACTGCCAATAAATGGAAATACCCTATATGAAATTACAGACAAAATTTATAAGTTTTTGCTGTAATTTATTGTGGGATACTGACACCATGTATCTGAAATAACAAACGATTACAAATGCATATATCTGTATAATACACTTTCCAAAAAATGAAAATGTTGTGCTGCAAAAACTTTATATACATTTCCTTAAACTAGTGAGTGAGTAATGGTCAAAAAGTGAGTACCACTTCTGTAACAGGTCTATAAATGTACTACAATTTCACAATACCACCTGCATTATTCTGAATTCTAACAGCTAAAGAGATATGTGTTATGGACTAGGTATTCTGTGCCCTCTGAGGTGTGCACTGGCATAATCAAAAGCTTGAGCATTGGACCCCGGGAATGCACAGGCACATTTTTGTTCTTCTCTATCAGTTTAGTCAGTATCTGTCTCACTCTTCTTTGGGCCATGCTATCACTGAGATAAGCATTAATAGGGCAACCTGTGAACAGAAGTCAAAATTGAATGTGTTTCTTTTGCGTGTAAAAACTTGTAGGACAGAATAACATAGCTTAATCTTATACAAGTATCTTTAATGAAATTCATAAACACTGTAGACAGTAACATGACAATTTATCCTGTTTATCTTTTAATTATCTGATGTTATTCAACAATTAACAAATTTCATCTAATAAAACAGTTTTATCAACCTTCAAATTCAAACAAATATTAAGTGGGAAAGTCATAAAAAGACCACTCACCTAACAATTCAACACCATGATGCGCAGAGACTGTAACAATTAGTTCATCATCATTTTCATCTATGAGATACAGTCGCAGTAGAAATGCCAGTACAACAGGATTTTTCTTCCCTGGAAAATATATGAAAATATAACACACCTCATGGCCACTTTTATAATACAAAATGAAAATGTTTCTTGTTTATTGTAAAATTAGTAATCTTCAAGGTGGGATAGCTCAGTTTATAAAGTGTTATGGGCTGGCCAACCAAGAGAGGCAGTGACTTTTCTTCAATTTGCTATACAGTGGATGCTGATGGTTGCTTCCCAACAAACAAGATAACGAAACTGGAATATGAAGCTCACCACTTATCTCCATCTAGTGCTGGGCTCAAAAATGCATGAAACTTTACTTCCACTCTGAATACATGCTTTAATGGTGTGTGGTTCTTAGGCACAGAGGAAACGTTACTTTTTTAAACCATCAAGTAATTCCTCGGATAAAATACTGTTTTTTCCTAAATTTATCTTAAAACAAAACAGAACCCAATTTCATGAACCATAATTAAAAAATAAATCAACCCAAGAAAATCACAGCTGCTTCTCTTATAAGGTATAGTGGATGGGCCTTTGAAATGTCAATGGGAAGTTAAAAGAGGTAAAATTACAAATCTTAGCATCCCAATAAGCTCATCACCCTGATGATGGAGGCACCAAGCACTTCTGTAATGTCAGTAAACTTCTAGCAGACTACACAGTGCTACAACTCAGAAGATATTCATCTTCACATTTAAGAAGATTTAAAAACAACTGTCAGACAAGCAAATGGACAAACAATTACCTCAAAAAATTTTCAGGCACTTGCTGTAGCAACCCTGAGATAATGCACACACGTGTATTTATTAATATATGCAATCGTTACCCGTTACCTGTTTTGAAACAATGTCCACATAACGGCTGATTAGTTCCTGCTCTCTTCACCAGTGCTTCATAACTCTGCATCTGAGTACAGCTCTTACAAAAGCCAGTGATAATATCTGTTTTTGAGCCACCTAAAGATAGGCACACATAATAACATCAATGTTAACACTGAAGGTAGAGGTAATATGCTCTTCCAAAATTTTGGCAACCACTACAAAACCACACAATTTCAAAAACCAGAACACAACTGTCTTCTACTATACATCCCTTTTAGATACAAATAATTGGGGATGGGCAACTTTTCAGATAGTAACAGTTTCTACACAAATACCTGCTCAGTTCAGTGTAACAGATATCACAAATTTTAATTAACTTTTCCCAATAAGTAGTCACAGATGAGAAAAATTACCAATTTTAACAATATGAGAAAGATGTGCGCATGCATGCACACACACACACACACACACACAGAGATGGAGACTTCATATTGATAGAAATGAAAGCAAATCCTTATTTTAAACCACTGGAGACTTCACTTCGTCTTACTTAAAACAAAGAACTTACTATGTATGGGAGGTTCAACATCCTTCACCCATGCTTTCAGCAAGTACACTTGTTGATTTCTTGTTATCCTCTTTTTCTTGATGTAGGAGATGTTTGCTTTAAGAATTCCTGGCATTGCATTAATGCCTGGTAAAAAATCGAAATAAACACAATTAGTAACTTATGATTAAAAATAGTGTGCAGTACATTTTGGGTTCTGATTAATCCAAAAATTTAACCAAACTGTACTCTGTAGAAGAGCCGCAGGGTATGATGCCAAAATGGCATGAACCAAAGGTTTTGGCTTAGAATTAACAAAACTCAAAAATAAAAGAACCATGTTAAGCGGATCCCTTGCCATCATGGCATGACATCTTCAGGTTATGGATGAAGATGACTTCCAGATAAGGAGGGTGGCTGCAAATATATTAAATAAACAGTCATAGACAGCAAACACAGGGTAGGTACCAGGCTAACAAATCCTCACCATAAAAAAACAGTACATATAAAATGTAACACAAGGCCTTAGACTTGGATGGATTCTGTAGAATGACCTAAACAACAGAAAATGGACATGAGATTTCAAACCTGCAATGTTAGAAATCTCTATAGGTCAGACTGAAATGAACATCAAAAGAACTAGTAATATATATGTCAGTCCTACTGAGAGTAGAAGATGTCGGGTGGGACAATGGTGACACTGAATCAGGACAGAGAAGATCAAACCAAAGATGATGAGACAGGGCATGTAGCATGCACAGAGGTGATGAGAAATACACAAAATTTTGATTGGGAAGCCTGAAGTGAAGAGACCTCTTAGAATACCTCCATGTAGAAGGGAGGATAATATCAAAATGTATCTAAAGGAAACTTGATTAGAGGGTGTGGATTGGATTCATCTGACTCAAGACAGGGACCAGTGGTAGGGTCTTACTATTGTCTTGTCAAGGACTCTGCTTCTCAAAGTTAGACACAAGAATTCTAGTGGCTGGTACTGAGTATATTAGAACAGTACCTCTGCCCTTGCATGATTCATACTGTTCTCTCATTCAATGAAATACTCTCTCCAAATGCATTCTGCATACTTCATAGACCCCAATGTTAATTTATTGCTATACAAAATCTACTGCAGTAGAACTAACTACAGAATATTGTCCTTATATAATGAGCTCCACAGAGCACAGTCCTCCTTGAGAAGCTAACATTAATTCAGCTAGTGAAGTAATTCCTGAAGGTTTATTATGAGTTCACAAGATCCTGCCACAAGTCTTTATATTATTATCAACATCTGATCTCATATGCATCTATTTAAACAAGCCAGAGTCTAGAGAAGGAATATAGTTTATAACCAATATTATCAAGTTAAGAGTGAATGAAGAGAATAAAATCTTACAAGTGTACAAATAAAAATGCTGAGTTACACAAATAACTATATCACAAATTTGAATATAGGAGGAAGAAAGGAGGCGGGACTCACCAAGAGGACAAAACAGAGAAATTTGTATTACAGGTTGTTTTTTCCCAAACAGCAGTAGAAAAAAATTATCTTACTGTGAAAAATTTAACATTTGTGACAGACCATTTTACCGCATTTTAAAACGTGGAAGACGAGGGTTACAAGTCAGACAATCCATGAACACTATTTCAATTTATTTACTTAATATGTTTCTGTTTCAAATGGAAACCAAAAGGTGAAGGATTCATACATACATACCTGGCAATTAACCAGCATTCAGTTCAGAGGCATCTAGCAATACTATAACAAACCACTAGTTTGAGATAATCTATTGAATTAAATGTATGGTAGTAAATTACATAACAATAATGATAGTGATAATAATGATAATGATGATTAATAATAATAATAATTCTATATATCATTAACCCTTTCATTCTTAGTCAATATATATGAATCAGTAGGCTGCACACTAGTTGCTGACCACTCTATTTTGTTTGGAAACCTGTACAATGTTTCATCTCCACACATTTCAACATACCATTCTTACATTTGAAATTAAAATGTTTAAGATAATGATCACCCTATGTTATGATCAACTTAAACCACATAAATATATTGAATGACAGCTAAGAAATCACACTGTAGTTTTGCAGAAATCTTCCATCCATAACATGTAAAATGATCTTTTCTGACAAAGGTGCTCTGTAAATAAAAGTGAAAAGGTAAATTTCTTTGTCCTTTTGAAAGCATTATTACTACCAGAGTACCTTACAGGAAAGTGAAGCTAACATGCAACAACTGCAAAAATTGTATTAAAATAAATTTAGGAAGATCAAAATTATTTGAAACAAGTAATATGTTGAGACAACAGTGTTTAATGCTGCATGGAAGAAACTGTTATTAAAGTCAGAGAAGAGGACAGAAAACCAGACATAAAAACATTAATCTTTTCAGGTGATGTGTCAATTTGGTGGAAAGATGAAGAGAAAAATGAAGAAAGACTAATCTGTAGAATCTTATTATAAAGGAATATTGGCTCAGAATGAATACAGACAAAAGTAAGTCTACAAGGATTTCAGGGAACCTAAACACAAATGTCAGAATAAAAGTTTATGATATATTGGTCAAGGAGGTGGACAAATTTATTGATTTGTTTGGGAAGTGAATTCAGTAAAGGATAACAAATGAATAAATCAATAGATGAACACCAAATAGTTCTAAACTCTATCAACTATGAAAGAAAAATATGGAACAAAGAGATCCCACAACAATGTGAAAAAAAATCATAAAGTGTATACTTTGAACCAATCTGAAAATTTAACAGTGAAACATGGAGCCTTACAAAGAGAGACATCAAAGCAATGGATATGATTTTAAAGTACTGAGAAGAGAACCAGACAATATAGAATTAGAAATGAAATGTTTATAGAAGTTGGAATCTAAAATTTGCTAACAGAATGAGAAGAGAAAAAACTACAATGATTTGGGCATTTAAAGAAAATGGATAGAACAAGGGCATTAGAATTAAAACTTAAAGAAAAGAATACCATGGGATGACTCAGAACAAAATGGTTCAACTAGGCATCAAGAAGAGACAAAGAAGTGGCAAGAAATGGACCAGAACAAAATGGTTCAACTAGGTATCAAGAGACAAAGAAGTGGCAAGAAATGGAACAGGAAAGATTGTGGGAAGATATATAAAATAGATCAATACTGGTAGAAAATCTGAATATGCATAGTGTTTAAAAATGTATACTAAAAACATATTAAAATTATATTCTAGAAAATCTGAATATGAATAGTGTTTAAAAATGTTATACTAAAAACATATTAAAATTATATTATACACTTTTGTGTAATTAAAAATATTTTAATGATGCAAAACACTGATGATACTTGACAAACTTTCAGATACTGTAAGTCTACACTAACCAAAACTTTGTACAAATATTGATCACTTATCAAATAAATTTGGCTTTTCTCACTTTATATTCAACATAAAGAGGGATCATAACATTTTCCTAGAACCTCCGTTATTTAAAAGTGTAAAGTTTATTATTACTGAGAATGCACTATATTAGGTTTCTTCTATGTGACTAATTATCTATGAACCAATAAACCAAAATGCATAATATAAAATGAAAACAGACTATGTGATAGCTTCAAAAAATTTCAGGCAGAAGCAAATACAGCGACATTGTACCAGGCAGGTCATAGCCAGCCTGAGCATGTCTTGATATGCATGCCCACTACATACAACTAGCAGAACTGTTCAGATGATGTTATAGTGGAACTTACAACTTCCAGAGAGTGCAGTGGTGAGATGAATCACCCTGTGATTCTCCCAACAACCAATTCTGCTAAATGACTTGCACTACTGCAGAAGAGGATAATGTGAGACAGGTGCAAGAGGTTAGGTTCTCTGATAACTGTCACACAATAAGGATGATAGCAGAGAAAGTCACAATTTTGGTTGGCAGCTGCAACTCAATCCTCAGCAGTGACCTGAAGATGCAGTGTCTGCCAACACATACAAAGAATGCTATACACTGAACAACAACAATGCAACAATTACACCAGGATCAATGGACAGCCCATCAAAGCAGCAGACATCAAATAGGACTTTCTTTGAAAGAATGTTTCATGTGGTGAAATCATATGTTTCCTGAATGATCAATGTGCATAAGAGTCCTACAAGTTGAAGTTGCCATTATTGCTCAGAACCATGAATTTCTAGCAGAAATGTTTACAAAGGAAGGTAATGGAAACCATTACAATCAGCAGGATATCATGTATACATGTTTTCCTGAGAGTGCAAGACAACAAGGAGGTGCTTGCTCCTCTATGGGAGGCAATGTGCCCGAAGAATCCAAAAATGTGCATCCAAACAGTAGGTAGCTAGGTCCTCTTGCATAAAAAAGGCTCAGGCATATCAGTCACCACCTGCAGAGCAGCAGGTCACCCATGATATTCTCCTAAGCAAATATCACACAATTTTTTCATAGGAGAAAGACTGGCTGAACAAATTCCACTTCAAAGATACAATGAAGGTTAAGGTTCATGCAGTTCTGAAGACTGCACTGAAGGATGTCACTTCCAGAAATGTTTTGTACAAAAACAGACATGAGTAGCTGTAGTACAACAGTATTCTGTAGGTAACTGCATTTCAGGGCTTTTCAATGCCACAATATCTGAGATATGGTTCCTATCCTATCTCAGAACCTTCTGAAGCTACCACACAGCAGTGCACACATATTTAAACATTTGATATGAAACGTTTCTCTGTGGTAACAAGCATGAAACTATTAATGGCACAAACCTTACAGGTTACTAGAATATATTTTGTACAAATATACATAATAAATTACAGAACTGTTAACTTAAGTTTGGCTAACCTCTCTGAACATTCAACAGAAATTCAGAATCACAAGTTGTCCCTAGAAATTATCATTTAACAACATTTTTAAATGTTGTTCAAACTCATTCTTTTGTAAGCTCAACAACAAAACTTAAAAATTTACTAAACAATAAACAACATGTAACACAGCTGATAAATCAATTCCTAATATCTCTTTTAAGTACTCACTGACCTGAGGCAAACACCACTTTGTATTCAATGGTGTCATTGTCCAATTCTGCAGAAGACAGTCCCATATGTTCATCTTCAGTTGTGTGTTTATCACTTAGGACACGACATCTTCTATCACCTTGTGCAATACAGTCCTCTTTTACTTCAGATCCACTTTTGTTTTCCTCAAATATGTGACCCCCCTCTGCTATTCCACCATTATTCTTGGTAACTGAGGATGAGACACCAGAACCAATATCATCTACAAAAAGCAAATCTTCAATATCTTGGTTACTTGATGGCAAACTGCTTGTCACACATGCTTGCTTGAGTGCAGAGAATTTGTCAGATAAATCTAGATCATCCACTTCACTTGCAGGAATTACTTCAGAAGCCACAGATTCTGTGTCACTCAGTTCATCACCTCTTGAAGAGTCTGCATTAAAAACAGGAGTCATATTCTGGCTGCCACTGGACTGTGTGCTAGTATAATACTGGGCACCACTTCTTGTCTGTATGGCATTAGCAAATTGGTCATACATTTCATTTATTTCATCAACCCGTTCTTGTGCATCATCTTTATGAAACATACTTCCTGCTATATAATCCTGTTGCATACTTTGTTCAGATACTACAGAATGTTCTGAGTGCTGTTCTTTGCAATTACTGTTGCCAGAGAAATCAGAAATCTTTTCCGAAAGAGGAAATTGTGATGTATTAGAAATATTTTGTTCTGCCACTGATTTCTGCAGTGACCAACAGTTACGATCACCAACTGATGTCAAGGGTGGTGGTGTGTTTCGAACCTCTGCATAATCCTTAGAATTTGACTGATCATTTTCCTGTACAGGATGTTGTGCTACACAAACAAAATCATCTCCCCTGCTCATTTCCACATGCAATAGTTTGAATTCAGATTTATTTTTACCATTATCAACCGATATAATTCCTGATAATGTGTCCTTGCTAGCTGCAACTTTGTTATCCATCTTTCCCTTGTGTGCCAAAGGAACAGAAGCAATTCTGGAACTATTCTGTGAAACATTATCTAAAATGACAGGAGAAGAAACAGAGTTTGAGGGTTCTGTATTCAAATCATTACGCACAATCATCCCTGACAGACTCCTCACTGAATTGTCCACTAGATCATCATTTGACTGAAATCCACAATGAAAGGAACTGCTATCGGGAATAGCTGATGTGGGAGTAACTGCCCGACTTCTTTGACCCTGCACATTTGAACCTTGTTCTAAACTATCATGTGCTTTCCCTGATGTACAGTGTCTTACTATCACTGCTTTTCCAAGGTCATTTAGCAACATGGATACAAGTTTTTTAGAAAAGGTAGTGCCATTGGTGTTAGACAGTGAAAGAGGAAAAGTTATACTTTGTTGTAATTTCTGTGCTGACTCAATCATATCTTTTGTCTGATGCAGAGAAATCTGCTGTTTACTTGTTGAAGGCAGACACACATTTCCCTCTTGCTGTGCAGATGTAACTATTCTAGACCCTTGTTTATTTACAGTACACTGTTTTAGAATTGGTGATGAATGTAATGGTGATGATACAGCTGACATGAACTGATCTTTAGATGAAGTCACAGAAGTTGAAGATGTATTATGACCCGAATTTTCAGATGAATTTGGCTTCTTTGAAGATGGAGGTGGTACAGATTTAATACCATGTGCCCCACTCTGCACATCAAATTTTTTAAACTGTTTACATGACACTGCATGATTTGTATCTTGTTTACTCATTACAGACAAAGATTTGGAATTTGTCAGTTCCAGATTATTTGAATGTAAACTGGTTTGTTTTGAAATTGTCTGTCTCTGAATTCCTGAAATCTGTGACATACTACCTGAATGTGATTGGTCAACATTTAACAGAAGTTCAGAATTGTCAGTATTATTAGTAAATACTTCTATTTGTGCAGGTGCTTCATCATTTGTCTGAGTATCAGCAACACCTATGCCCACCATTCTTTGTGAATCTAAATCCTCACTCATTATTTTTTTTAATTTATGCCCACTTCCAAATCTTACATCTTCATGGGACATATGTCTCTTCCTTGACACACTGCTTACTGGTCTAGAAACAGATTTTTCAATTTCCTTAATTACATTTGTACTTCTGTTCTCACTTTCTGTACCACAATCTATTTCAGAATCATATTCTGTATTTGTATGGGGACTGTCCGAATCTGATGACGACAATAAGGACAATAAAGATGATGATGATGGACAAGCACAATCTCCTGGCTGCTGTCTTTTATGACATTCAGGTGCTAGTTTTCTGATCTGTAATTCAACATACTTATTATGATGCTGCAGTTTCAATTGCACAGCCTTCAACCTCCTGAAAAATCCAGAATGTCACAATTTATTTCCCATAAACTATTCTTTGTGAAATATATTCTAACTACATCAAAACAATGACCCTAATGAGCAGGCAAGCTCAATCACATGTTTTCTATATTCAGAATGTACCAGATTTAAATCTAAACCAGAGAGCTGTATATTCTGACATAAGTTTCTCTCTTCCATGCCACAGGTTCAGAAAACAGTGGGAATACTAAAAGATCATGTAATTGTGTATTGGTACTACCATTCATTTTTCCAATATCCCACCCCCTTAAATAACATCTAAACCATGTGACAGATTTACATGAAATTCAGTACAAACATGATGACATCAGACATTAGAAGCCACCCCTTTAATTTCAAGTTTAATGCCATCAATTAAACCAAACAGTGGTTATACAATATCCAAGGTAAGAGCAAAATTCTTCTGTTTCAGGTTCAGATTTGTGCTTCACTGGGTGTTTAAAATAATCAAACTTTTGGCAATATTATACTCTGTGTATAGTTCTTAATTTTAACTCTTACCTTCTCAATGTCACTGCCTTTGACTCAAGTCCCTTGCAAATGTTAACAGAATTATCATTTCCAATCAGCTTGAAGCTTAATATAGGCCTTTTAAATTGTGGAACGGAGATCAATTCCACTTTCACGTTTTTCAGCTCTACAAAAGAACCTTTCTGGAAATAAACCAAGAATGAAAAGGACTATTTATCTTTATATAATGTCCTATGAAAGAAAGAATAAACAGATACATCACAAGAAAAATATTAACATACCACAATTTTCTCACTTCGCTCACAACTTCTGAATCTTAATTTGTTTGATTGGATGAGGATAATAACTGAATGAGGTCTTCAAGAAATATGGCAGTACTAACTGGTCACTACACATCATAATTCCCATTTAATGCCAGTTACTTCAAAACCAAAATATGGCTATACACAGTGGGAAATAACATTAATTCCTAAAGCAAAATTATGAGGCCTTCCTCAATAAATATAATTTATACTTCTTGTAAAAATGCAAAGAGTTTGTCTTATTTTTGTTTACTTCCATAGTAATCATGCATAAATTACACACTGCCAATATGAAATATCTTTTGTAGTTATAATGCCATTTATTACTACACACAATAACAAAAGGGAGAATTTGGTGAAATTACTGCCATGGAAGCCCTGACAAATGATCTCAATCAGACGACGTCAGAAGTATGAAAGTTGAGAGATAAGGGTTGAAATACCATGAGGGTTGCATTCCTGAAAATCATGGCACAAATAAAAAATGTGTAAAATGGGAAACATATAAATGCAGAGAGGCCTTTGTAGTTCCTGGAATCAAAATGGTGGGGCAAGTCAATGAAAATGCACATGCAAAGTTGTGGTTCTCTGTGGCAACTTCTACTGTGTTTCTAGATAGGATACTGACACTCGTCATGATACTGAAATAAAATTGGAGATGCAGAAGCACAGACAGATAGTGAATGCGAGTCACTTATATATCGACATTCTGCTACATTTGACACGGTAAACTGTAGAAGAATTAAATCACCCTTGCTGTGCTGAATAATCCTAAAATGTAGCATACAAAGGGCATTTTAATCAACTGATCTGACAGCACAGCAAATTTAAATGACACAAAAAATTATTAAACATTATACTATTTACCTTGACCTGTTTCAGTTTCAGAGGAGGATCCAAGACAAGGATCCTTACTTCACGGCTTGCATATGCCTCTTCTTGTGTATCACTGTTTTTATCAAAACATACAGAGAATGTGCACAACGTGCCATCTGTCACTTTTAGGATCAGCATCTCGTCTGACAGGATCTCAACTTTGAGTACCTGCACAAGCAAGACACCTTTAGATATTTATCAACATGTTGTCATATTGCAGTTTTCTGCATTTTATCCATTAATGAGTTCTAAGAAGAATTTATTTTCAAGTTTGTAGTGTAGCATACAGGTATGTTATGTTGATTCTTCCTGCATACTTTTGGATTAGTTATTTCTCTGAAAATGTCTTATTAAAGATTATGTTTGCATTGCAGTGCAATAACACATGCTTACAATTCATGTATTTGCTTTTGGCGTGACTCCCAATATTAAGAAACAACAAGCACTTACACAATACCTACATTCTTTCAAATGCTTTAGGTAATATTAATGGTCTAACAAGAAGTATAAATTAATAATTACAAATTTAATGCTCCACTTCTGTGCATTATTTCCAATTATATCAGACCCCAACAAAGTTAAATTTTATTATAAATCAGGACAATGTCATAATACAGTGGAACCTCCCTTACTTAGCTCTCCAGCTTAACAAACCTTTATCTCTGTGTCCCCAAATTCCCAAAACAGAAAAATAATTTGCAAACATAACATACTTAGTAGTGTTTCAGACAACCACCTGTATACATCACTTTGTGGGTTCTGTGGGTTAGTGACGTTTACATTTTCTTTCTACTGTATACTCTTCCTTTTCTAAAAATAAATTGATAAAAGAAAAAGTGGAGTTTCTGATGTGTTTGTAAGCGATTAAATTCCCAGTAATGATTTTTCATTATGTGATGCATTTTTATTACTGTTTTTATTACTTGCTATATCTCACACTGGATTAACTTGCTTTCTAATTAACCATCCTACCACATGGTCCCATTTATATTAAGCAAGAGTCCACTCTACAAACACAGCAAATAAATTCTTCGGTAATTGTGTGCAATATTATGAGACATGTCAGATTTTTCAATCATGAGATAATTCTTGGGTATTGCACTATTTATTGGCTGTACACTATCCTTTGCTATGGAAATATCAGAACAGATTAGACAGATTTTACAGTTTGTTATTAAAAATTACATTGCTTCTTGTTTTTACATTTTTCATACTACTAGTTCTCACGTTACTAAAATAGTTCTCTAGCCATCAATCATAAAGCACTGTCAAGATATCAATCATGATATCTATTTTATGTAACCTCTGCATGAAGAGTATAAAATGAACACATTATGAGAAATTCATGTCTGTCTCTCTACACCTGCCTGCACATTTCTTCCCTGATAATCAGTGGATTTTGACACTGGAAGCCTACAATGGAATTTGTTGCATGTGGTCTATATTCTCTTTTCTAAATTAAAGACTACTTTACATGGAAGTTTATAGTAATTACTGTTTGTACAAAATTCCTGTTAACCAGATATACAAGAACATAATATTATTCACCTTGCAAACTAGATTATAGCTTCCTTCTTTCTTTATTTCACTCAGCAGAGTTGCAGTTGGTTCTGAACTCACAACAACCTGATCTGTATCAGGCACTTCCGCTGTCATGAGAGAAGGCCTGTCTGACTGGTGTACATTAGCCATCGTTGTTGGGTCTGATGCCAAGTCTACAACTTGTGGTGAGAGAGGTGCTGTAGAATTAACAGTAGCTGGTACAGGGGTGGATGCTGTCAGTTCCTGATTTTGTGATGCAAACCATCTGCGAAGCTCAGTCAAACATCTTGCATCTGAATCTAAAGGAAGAGTTTAACTAGTTATTTATTTCAAATATTAGTAATCACAAAAGATGCACCATTTAAAAACATTTTTCTATACCACTAAAAAATCTTGGGACAGTCATTCACTAGCAGGGATTTAAACCAGGCACCTTCAAAATAATAATTCACCATTTTTGACAGTAGGAGAAATTACAAATATAATTTATTCCTGTGGTTCACTTTATAAGTATGACTTATTTTCTTTCCATGTAAAAGTGTATAGCTTGTAATTCTTTTGCACTGTTCTGTCTTATTTCACTGTGGGTAAACCTGTTTTGTAAAACAGCTTAATTTGCAAATAAGTTGTATTTGTTTAATTTTTAAACAAAAAATTGAAGGTAAACAGTGTTGTGTTAGTTTTCAAACAATGGCAAACAAATAAAGTGTGTGGCAATGGTCAGCATACACACCACCACTGGCATACTCACCACAAAAATGAAAACTGCCAGCTGTTGAAAATGCATTTTTTAACCCTTGACCTTCTGGTGGAAAGGTCACAATATCTGATGTACTGAATACACGACCATCCAGCACTCCATTGAATAGTTCTGTCTGTAACAAATAAAAATAGGAAAGATTTGATAATTATGACTCATATCATAGCATCTCTTGTGCATAAGGATGTTACAACCCACTGATGCTTTCCTTAGAATGAAATGTAAAGTCTTCCCTGCTGCTAAAGAAAACAATACACCACGCACACACATAGGGAAGTGGAGGCTTAGAGCCACACATTCTCAACCTTAGAATTTGGAGGAGGTGAGAAGTTAGTTTCATGCCCCAGCAACTAAAACTCCAAGGAAAGAACCCTGGTACCTACTACATAGGAGGCTGAGTATACTCCAGAGCCAATCTGGACTTTTATCAGTTACATTGTAAGTGTGGATTCATACCATTCTATTAATTATGTAATTTAATGTGGTGTTTCAAGTTCATCATATCTACAACACAATATTACAGAAGTTTGTACTGACAGGATTCACTATACATTTAAAATTTCCATTTCTTCCATAAGAAAGGATATAATGTAGTTTACCTGGAACATGTGTATTTCAATGCATTATTCATAAGCTTCTTTAACAAATCTCATTAAGAAAGCTTGTGAAATATGCAAGTACTTATAACAAGGGTCTACCACAAATAATGACCTACCTGAAAACTACTTTCTCTCAAAAATAAGGTATGCTCTATTCAGGTTACAATGTAGTCCACCTATATCAGTCTCATGTCTCACAGTATGGTTCCTACATATTGCTAGTTAAATTATACAATGGATACTGAACTTACCTTCATTCTATGAAGCCTCAGAATATAACCACATTCCAGTTTAGGAAAAGCTTGTTCACATTTGAAGAAGATATGTACCCGAAAATCCTGGGTAGGTCTACAAGTCTCATCCCTCAGCCTAACAATCGCATGCTTAGTAGATTCTGTGGGCATCTAAAGGCATAAAAGATCAATCACACTTGTACAATTTTTTTTAAATGTATCCTTACAGAATTACAAAGTCACTTAGGACAATCAACCACAAACTCAACTCCAGTCCTCCTCGAGAAGTTTGTACCCACTCAGCTAACCAAGAAATTCCTAATGTTCATCACCACATTCACAACACCAAACCAGCGGACCTTATTCTGAACCAAATGAATATACATACATATTTTATTACATTCCATGGGTCCATAAGACAGTCAGATGACAATAGGATGCGGAAAAAGTCATGATAATAATACAATACATATTATAAAGTATAATTCATACTATTATATAAATTTCACATAATATAAACATAGGGTTCACCTAAAGAAATGATAAGTTACAAATAGATCTACCCATTACACACAGAAGAAAATTTATCACTTATTTGTAAACAACATAAATTCATTGACAGAGTATGAATCCAGTTCACATCATCACACACTACACCCCTAACATCATGACCACTACTTGTGAGCAGCTGTAGCATCCACACACATGCGCAATATCCAGATGTCATAGTCTCTCCTGCTACCTTCTGCCTGCTCTGACCATGCCATAATATCATGAGAACCTAATATCTCATCTACATGGATTAGAATCAATAACCAGCTTCATGGTTCTGCAACTTTATACCAAAGGAAAAGGACCCAGTACCCTACAGATCACACACGGTAGCCAACAGAAATATATCTGCCAGTGACAGGAATCAAATCCTTGATGTCCAATCTACAGCCAATCGCACAACTTAACAACTAATCTATCCTCACTCATAGATGAGATTTCCTGTGTTCAGTTTAAAATACCACCCCAATACATTTAAAAGTTTATAAAGCAAGAGAGATATTAATCAGAAGAGTGTCTCTGGAATTCAAGATGTAAACCACACAACTATATTGTTCAGTAATTGAATAAGATGGCTGCTAAATTAAGAATAAATTTTACCTTTGTAATGCTGGAAACCACTCCATACACATTAACTTTCTGCTCTGGTTCCACCAATTCAGAAATCTTCTTGTATGTGTATGTTATTTTTGTGTTCTGCAAACGCACTGCATTTTCACCCAAGGAACCGTGAGGCTGCATAACTCTGACTGAAGAGAAATCTGGAGAAACTGCAGGTGAGGCATTGCCAACTGATGAATATGTAGGTAATGGATAATCTGATGAAACTCTAGGTGAGGTACTGTTTACTTTAATTGTATCTGAGATGTCTGAAAGTGGTGAAACACTTCTTGAGTTACACGAAGTTACAATGAGGCTTGGAGAGGGTCCTCTATCAAAGGTGCTAGCAGGGTCTCCACTATTGATGGTGTTTGGAAGTCTTTTCAGGGAGGCATATGGAGACAGACATCTTACTGGTGAAAGTCTCTGAGAATTTCTAAAATTCTGAAAGAAAAATATTCCATAATTCATTACAAATTAAAAGCACTTACATTATATTCTTCTATACTTTCTTAACTATACACTGGTTATACACAACAAAATGGGAATATAAGTGTGCATGATAAATTGATAAAAATGTGAAAGTAGCTATGACTTATTTTAATGCATTATCTCATTATTTGCTTGGAGGGACTGGGAAAAAACCCATTTGAAACTGAGGATTAAGTATTTGTGGTGTATTTGATGATACTGCCAGTAGCTCAGTTTACATCAAATGATAGGATGATTATCATGGCTCCCGAGTGATTTTTGCCAGAATGAAGTTTCATCTCATGACCCACCAGTGACCCTCACCCCATGCTGGTAAAATTCAGAACCCTAAATGTATGAACCACAAGACACTCCACACAAACCTCATACAGGTTTTATAAAACAGCTGTAGTGTTATAAATACATTATTTACTCCATGAAGACTGAGTTTCCATTTGCATGATACAGGCCAGAGACCCACAGGTATCTTTGTAGTACTAAAATTCATTTTCAGGAGACCAACCAGCAACCTTCATGGAAGTCAATGTGTTTATGAATAATAAATTGGAAAGGATACAAGAAAAAATGGCCATGGCCTCATTTAAGGTAAATTGTTGGCATTTGTCTGGAGGGGCTAATCAAAACCACTGATAACCCTAAGTACAGCCTCTGTACCATGATTTGAACTTGGAACACCTAAACACAAAGCAGAAGAAAAGAGGAGATGAGAGTAAAAATTTAATTAGGATGAAGGGAAAGAAATTAAGAAATAAAGGTAAGGGTTCTGAATGAAAGTGGTGAAGGAGAAAACATGATTTTTGGGAGAAAGACAGCAATTCACTGAACTCAAATCAAGGATGTGTTTAAGAGATATAGTTTTATGTTACTCAATTTGTATTAATAGAATGACTTGGTGTGAGTCAACCTCAGGACCTAGCATAGATTGCTTCCAAAACATTTACAATGAACCATATAAGTACACTCACTGTCATACGGGACTTTCTTATGAAGAAGACCTTTGCACCTGGCCGTGGAGGTATGCCCATGCGTGCCTGCAAGTCATGGCAATCAATTTCAACACGATATTTTGTGTTCTCCTCTATATATGCTGAACGGAAGGCAGCAAAATCACCTTTCTGCAAACGAGCATCTGCCAGTGACGTGGCAAACTTGTTGAATGCATACACATTGAACAATTTTCCTTTCTGGCAGTCAACAGTAACTACAACAGAATTCATTTCTAAATGTTATTGACAATGACGCTGAATTACTAATTTTGGTTTTTCTCCAGTCGTCATTATGCTTCCTCAGAAAACCTCCAAAGATCAATGGGCCCAATTGTGTGGGTTCACCACAGGACAGGGGAAGAGCCATCTCCCAAAGCATAGTGGTTTTTTGAGGAAGCATAATGACAACTGAAAAAGTCCAAAAAAACTGAAATTAGTAATGCAACAGAATCATTACACATATAGTAACAGTTCTCTTGTTAACACTCTGAGGTCCAGTCGATCTGTGAGAATATGGCTTTTTACAAAAAAAATCATAATTTACAGTTTATCCATATACTTGAATAACTTAAAATGAATAAAGAGAAACAAAGAGAGAACATTCAGTACTATTTTTAAGTAATTTCACTATTTCAGCTCTTACATGCCAGCTAGATTGTAAAAAGTGGAACTATGAATCCATGGTTTCTTATAAAATAACATATGATAAAACATAGCATACTCACTGCTGACATAATTTTTTAAAATTACAGAAATCTGACACGCATTAGAAAACATAGTATTTCATACCTCACAGAACACAAAACATAAAATGACTGTTCACAGAATGTGTTGGAAATGTTCTTCATTACCCTGATTGAATACATGCATCAATCCTCCTGTACATATTCCGAGGCACATGTAACAGTTTCTGCCATGATACCGATGATAGCACTTTCAGTTGTTATATGCTACTTGCATTGTTTTGTTATAAGTGTTCTTTAACACAACACACAAAAAAAGTTGGGGGATGTTAGATCCAGGGATCAGGAAAACCATAATCCCTTCCACATCAATTGTTTTCTTCCATTATGACACTAGTATCTTCCCACTGAAACTAGCGTGTCTTTTGTGAAATTCCACTAAAGAGGAGAACTGCATAATCATAGATAAACATGCTTCAATATTGACTGTTTCTTAAAACATGATGACCCTAAAATTCTGCAACATGACACCATATACCAGAAGCTTATCTTCCGCAGAAACGGGAGCATTTCTTGGAATGCATAAGGATTTTCTGTCATCCAAATATTATTGTTCTGAGAATCCATATGCTTACATGAGGTGAAATGTTTTCTATGCAGATATTTTTAAACATATCACCCAGTATATATGTACAAAAAATGAAAACCAAATTTGCAGATTAACTTCAGATTGGGAAACACTGGCCTAAAGCTTGGGCACTGTGCAAACCTTTTACCTTTAATCTATCCTGTTTACAATTTTTATTTTGACTATTAGCACCATTCACTGTAATTAAAGGCACTTCATCCTGAGTCTGGAATTGTCAACAAAGAATAATGGCACATATTTTATCAACTTATTTTTATCAAAAAATTAAACTCACACAAACAACTTAAAACATGAAACACTTAAACTAAAACAAAAATAGAATCCAGAATGCTGTGGAAAATCTAGTTCATTTCTTGATGAAACTGTGATAAGGCCTTTTGCACTCATTAAACTAAAATATGAATATTAATGCTTACCATAAACTAAAAATTTATACTTTTTGTTACCAGGTGTATTTTATTTCTCATGAACAGTCTCACATTATACAGAAAAAGTATGCTTATTACCCAAAAAAATAAATTAGTATTGTAAATTTCTGCTTATCAGCTGTCAAAAGCAGTCTGCCTAGGTAACTCAGCAATGACACTTTTTAAATGTGTGTGTGTGTGTGAGAGAGAGAGATAAAAAGCAAACTGTACATACCTTCATGCAGATATATTACTAACAGCTGTCTATCATGGTTTTTAATCACACTGGAGATGTGACATATTACTCCCTGAAAATATAAAAGTCTAATCATAAAATACATTCTAATACTTTTAACATCAGAGGTGTTCACTGCTTAACAAAACCTTCAAATCAGGGAATGATGATAAAGTGTGCCTGGATCCAAAAATTGTGAATACTTTCCTTCTGAAAAACATATGGGAGTCCAGTGAGTATAAACTTGCCCATCTTCCTCCTTTCATTAACCCTTTCATGACTGCAGGCTCAGAGCATACCAAGGGTCCATGATATAATCACTTTGGTCAAAATTATACATTTTCCACTGTGCTGCTTAACACACATACAAAATAATAATAATAAAGAACATCTTCCACCTATTTTTGAGACATTATTATTAATTATCATGTTTATGACAACATACCAGCTCAAAAACATTTAGAAGTTACTTCCTCTTTCTTGGATCCAAGTATTTTCCTCAGTATTTGTTTTCCAACACCCTCAATTTCATGACACTTACCAAAATAATTTCATTGTGCTGTTTCTGATCATGTGCATATAGGTCATTCAACATGAAGATGTTTCCATGTTTCTGCACCTCCCTGATGAAATGCTTCAATGTGGGAGTCTGAATCTTCAACTCTCGTACACATGACTCAGTCATTTTTTATCTGCAAATGTAATACATACACATTATCATTTAGTTCCAAACTAAGAAAGTTGGCAAAATGTTTTTTAAACATCCAGCTAGAGTCATGACAGTTCAATCAGTACAGCAAATAAAGATGGCTGTTTATTGTAGCACTATGTACCAACGTTTCAGAGGTACTACAACTCAAAGTTGTGTCTCTTGTTCCATAAGCACCATTTCTATTACTACAAAATGGACTTCATTCAAATTTTGTATTCGGAGTTCACATTTAACTTAATTTTGGAACCTATGGGTCCAAAATCACCCTTCTTTTAAGTGAGCTGAAATCAAGGTTTAATAATTTTCTTAACTGTCTCATCTTACATAAAACTGTCATGGCATACATTATAAAGCTTTAGATTGCAGTGATGACAAGAGACTTTTCTTTTGATGAAGATAATAAAAACAAAGGATTTGCATCATTGGCCTAAATGGTATGCGCATGTATGATTGGGAGATCTAGGCACAGATGTGAGGATACCTCTAAAATGGACCTTAAAGAAATAGTGTGAGAAAGTGGACAAAATTTATCTGGCCCAGACGGGCTTCTGTGGCAGGTTGTTATAAACACAGCAATGAACATTTAAGTTTCATAAAAGAAATTCTTTTAACTTCAGAGAGACCACTAGCTCCCTAAGCATTCTGCTTCAAGCAGTTAGTCATGTATTAATAACTTATGAACATATTACTTATTTACTTTTTAAAATGTTCAGAAAGCAAATTTTACAGTTGCATTCAAAAGTAAGAAAAAAATTAACACCACCTTCTAAGGACAACAATTTAATATAATATGAGAAAAACAGTGTTTATTTTCTATCAGGCAGATGGCAACCAGCTAGCTGTAACAGATTTGACCTGCCCATGTACCAAAATTAAAAGAGCCAGACACCTCAAATATGGATTACAATGCTAAATGTCACTGAAATTTGCTAAGTAGTCATTCAGATGTCAATTTTATCAAATGGTTTGAATGAAACAAATCACACAAAATACAGATATAACACAGTTTAATTTTTCCTTATCTGACATTACCTCTCATTCGTCAAAGATAAGCAGTAATTGATAAGCACTCTAAATTCATGTTGCCAGTTCTGTTTAATATACAGAAGAATATTCCCTTTATTTTAGACAGTATATCATTTAAAACCAACATCCCATGTTATTTACTTTAGCTCCATAGCAGTAAGTTAAATTTTAAACCTCACACACAATGCCCCCAATGTTCTGTGGCCCACCGACACTCTTTTAAACGAACAACAAACATTTTTCGTATAAAGTCTTAAAGGAGATCTCTAACACTGTTGGAGCTGCATCTTCCATACTTCTGGCGTGACACTATATTTCGTTCAACAAATCCGAAATAAATGTGAGGTTAGAATACAATACTTGAGAAAATATTAAAGTACAAACACGGGTCTATGTTGAATGAAGGTACCTGAACGTGCTTACATATAATTTATTGCGTTACACATTTCACTAAGAAATGCCAGTTTATTAGAGCTGAATTCGTATCTAAACAGTGTATGTGTACTACGATCTTAAAACATTTTGTAAACACCTTTAGATATCACGCACAGAAAATTTCAAGACATAAACATTGTACTGGTAAATACATTAAGAAAGCAACATAAGTACAGTAACACCAAAATTCACAAATTTACATACGACTTGCAACAGAACAATACTACAATCTAGAATTTCAATTTTTGTTTATATGGGTCATGCTGTTATATCCACTCTTACCAACTTAAAACAAGAATTACCGTTATTTATTATGGCATTATCATAAATTCAAGTGAAAAACAAGTACCGTCCTTTTGTCTTTAGTTCAGTATACATGACAGTCGTTCATCACCATTATCTTGGTTCATCACTTTTGCTGCATGTCAAAAGATTCATGCACAGATCACACCATGTTTAAAGTACTAAAATTGTAACACTATTCAGATTATTGAAAATACGTAATTTTAAAATTATAAACTATTTTACTGCATTAGTTACATGTTGTATTGTAGGCTTACTCACAAAGAGAATAAAATTGTAATATCTATGAAAAGTAATGGCTTCATGAGGCTTATCAGTACCAGCAATGCAAACATATAAGCCATAAATATGCATTTTTCTTATAAATAAATTATGCCACAACGGGATAAAACCATATTTATTATGTTATTCCCACTGACTGTGAAGGTATGTTTACACAACTTTTACATAACAGTCATTCTATGTTACCCACTATTACAAACTTGACAAACACATTAACAAACATTTACAGCCTTACACTTACTAAATTATGTTCTTTATAACACTGTTACCAAAAATTAAGCAATTGCATTCTGCCCTGATTTAAGGTGACATACTTTATCCATTTAAACCCAATTAGACATATAATGATCTGAGTGAAAGACAAAGTGACAAACATATTTGCATGGCCTTGTCTTTCTATATGCTCCTGACCTACCTACAACTTAATCACCACATAACTTTTACAATTCTTGGAAAATCAATACTCTTGTTTCAACCACAAACACCTTGTTTTGAAATCTATCAGTGAAAAATGTTGATCTAAGAAGAACAGATATAAGCAAGATACATTATTTCATTTTTGAGTCACATGTTACATGCAGTAACCAAGACATTATTATCATTAGTTATCATCACCATCACTTAATACTGACAATAAATTATCTCAACTCCAATCTTGATATAATAAATTCAATAGTCCTGAGCATTCTCTATACACAATCATGACATGGTTGGCAACCTGGAAAAGGCTGAGCTAGATTTCTGCGATAGCTCTGTGTCAAAAAAGTCAGGCTTATGTTCTTCAAAATACACATACATTCAAATGATTCAATTTCATACAATAAGAGTTCAAGTTCGTCTGCTACAGCTTGGTATGTATGACCACAATCCATGCCTTGAGTGGGACTCGAACCCACGGTCGCAACAGCCAGGCGCACGAGGATCATGCACCGGCAGAAGACACATAAGTGGGGAGTAATAAATTTTTCAGAATAAGGAAGCACACAATTATACACATTTTTTTAGTATTAAATCAAGGAGGTTGTGAATGGACATACAAGGAGTTCAAATGAGGGAAACAAGAATTGCTATAGGCACTGGAAAATATAGCATGGGAGTAACTTTTAATAACTTGAACATACCACTGCGCTTCATGAAAAATCCCAGATCTGTTTAAAAGTTTAATGCATCATTATGTGATGCTATTGATTCTTAGTATCATGAAATATAAGACACACCCTGATTTCAGAAATTTTAAATGTAAAAAAGTTATCGTAAAATCACAGAAATATAGTATTACAAGAGAAATTAAACAAGTGGTGTGAATGGCTTGGAGACTGGAAGTCTGGAAACTGAAAGTGGGCAATAGGCACAGTTTGAAATGTAAGTGAACACTGTGCAGAGAGATTGAATCATGCTAAACATTTATGTTATTTTAGGTTGCAGTGAAACTGGGGATTTGAGGTATAACTTGATATGCATGAAATGACTGGACCACCATCAAGAATATAATCTTCAAGAAGATAATTAATCCTAATAATGCATTTCTCCTCAAGGACACAAGACAACTTCTTGTTCATAGTAAGAGGAAAATGGGAGACACGTAACAAAGATAGAAATAGCTCTAAGAAGTACCAGCAATGAGAAAAATGGAATAGAGCAGAAAGTGTGATAAATCAAGCCTGTCCTGCAGAAATGTGTATATTGTAAAAACAACAGGAATTTAAGCCATAGCAACCAGGGGTTATGCAGGAAGAACCATATGTAGTGCAGCACATGACTCAATAAGTAAACATATGAAGAGCAAGATTTTAATTACTTTTGCATGTACAGTATAAGATTATCTTCAAGCATCAAGTTTCATCAATTCTGCTCATAGAATTCTATCATAATTTTCACTTCAATCCAAGTCTTCATTTGCATCATGTGTAACAATGCTCTTCTTCAGAGTTTTATGCAATGGACCTGTAAGAAAATAAATTAATTCCATCATTGATTAGCAAAGCTATTGCTACAGACTAAATATAAATTTTATTCCCACAACATGATTATTTTTTCATGGATTTCCTTAGTTTGGGAAAATTCTGGTACAGTACTTCTGACAGACAATGTGCCCTTAACCCTTTTGCTGTGCATTATTTTCTCACAAATTTCCTGAAATAATACAATTTTATGGTAAAAATATGAAACATTTTCAATATGATGCACTATATGGTACTGGATGCTTCTTCAACTTCAGTTGAACACTGCAGCAAAATGGTTAAACTGTCTATCAATGTACAAGACTATTACCCTTTTAGACACCAGACAAAAAATAATTTTTCCAATGATCACAGGTTGAAAGGCCACAAAAAATCACAGGACTGTTATACTGCATAGCATACAATTTATACACAGTAGTAACTCAACCAGTTACAGGACATAGACTATACTTCAACATGGATAAAACAAGCAAAACTCCTTTCCAAAATGCATGATTTTCAACGTCAATTTGGAACTGTATGATAGGCTGGAGTAGCAGAAATGCTGTAGACTTGTATTTGGTACATAACTGGTTTAAATCCAGCTTAATTTGCCAGATATCCCAACTAAGGACTGTGATTTTCCTCAGAGTCTCCAGACAAACGATAAGATAGCATTTTTGAAAAGGTCGTGACTATCTCCTTCAAAATCCTTACCTACTCACCACATCAGGTCCATCTTCCTATCCTACCTCATTTAATACTATATACATACATCATCTTCAGCTGAGATAGTACATATAAATAATATAAGAATCCATCAATTACTTCAGATTTTAAATGTATCACACTACATCTATTTAAGAGGATAAAACATAAAGTTGAGGAAAATGAGTCATAGCTGGAGTAATTATGATCTAAATGAGGCTGTGTGAGGTATGAAGTCATCTCAATATGCCTATTTCCACTAAAGAACCTCACCCTCACTGAAGTTCTCTGCTGTTCTCTTCCTAAGCTCTTCAACATTTTCTTCAGCAGCTGCCCATTCCAGTACTAGACGACGCCCATACAAGTGCGTACTCTGACACAAGGTTTTGAAAGCTCGCTGTAAAGAAACAATATATAAGTCAATTACAAGTACAGGCAACTCTCAGTTTACGAACGAGTTCCATTCCATTATACGTTTTTGTTCATTATGTGTATATTACATTCCTATGTATCCTATACGTTAGCAGCAATTTTAAAGCATTAAAACCATGTACTAAACATCGAATGGTCTATACAATATGTTTTATTATAATGTATGTATGCGTTATGGTTTATTGTATACGATACTTAACGTACGCCACGCGGTGTGGCATGTAAACCAAGGTTTTTTTACTGGCTACATTAATTTTATTAACCAAGAACAGTTCGGTATAATTATCATATAATAATGTTCTGATAATTATTGTAATAAATACATTTTTTTAAAAGTTTATTTATTTAAATCTTACAAATATGTTCACTATACTTTTGGCATATCATTTTATAAGGAACTCTATCTATTGGTAAATAAGAAATTTTGAATGAATCGAACGTTCGTAAACCGAGAGTTGCCTGTATTTGAGAAGAAATCCCTACACAGTAACAATAAGAGAACGACATAATCATTGATCTGATGATACAAACTATACAAAAAATGGATAAAATGAAAAATACAGTGGTACAGACATGTTATTTGAGGAACATAACAAAGATGACAGTAATAAACAACCAATGTGGAGACCAGTAATACACATGGACTGTCTCCCTAGTAATCTCTCACTAGAAGTAGGAAGCACTTCATAATACAATTTTCTCCAGCCTTCTGTTACTGCATACTTCTTAGATACAAACATTCTCCTCAGCATGCTGCTGTCAACCATATTTAATATCTGTTTTTCTCTTAATGTGGGACATAAATTTTCAACATACACAAAATATAAAAATGGGACCATAAAATACATGAAAAAACATATTAAACAAGTTCCAGTCTTTCTGAAGTCCCTTCACATATGTATAAATGCAATGGTAAAAATAAGTTTGTACAAGGAATTAAGGGACATTTCAACATTGGGGAATGTGTTGAGTCAGGGTGGAACAGGTTCATTTTAAACAGAAAATAGGAATGTTATTCATTATATAGCTGAATGATCATATGGAATGATAATGTGCCAGTAATTACCTTGAATGCCAATTTCACTTTCTATTTCCTTCTAAAAGTCTTTTAAATTATGAGACAATGCTATTTACATTGCAGGAATAGTTACCTTTGCATCATGTTTTGTGTAGTAGTCAACAAATGCAAATCCTCTGTGTGATCCAGTACCCACCATTTTCTTGGGTAACCTTAATGCCTTCAGTTCACCAAACGTTCTGTCAAGAATGCAGAACAACATGGAAGTTATAATTATAAGTGAAGCATTGAGATAAATTAAAATTTAGTGACACAGGTAACGCCATACACATGTCAAAAATACCAACGGTTGACATAAATTCTTTCTATAGAGAAGAAATAAATAGTAAAGTATGTTCATACTTAAAATAACTGACTGCAGTCCAAACCGTTCAACTGCATTACAGTCCAAATTAGACCAAATCTCACCTCTGATGCACACAAGAATAGAATGCAATACAAAACTATTTCTGCTATGACAAAATATCAAAACCTGGAAAGAGATTCTGTGTGCTGCATACACTACAATCAATTTTACCATACACTTTAATGAAGAATAACAATGCAGACACATAAACATACTTAAATAAATCCATGACTTCATTTCTTGTTGCCTGGAAAGGAATATTCCGAATTAAAATTTTGGTGCCCGTCTGTTTTCCAATCTTGGTCCTTATTCTAGTTGTATGAACCTCAGTCCTGTAACATAAAATAAGGAAACCATTAAGCAGCAATCACTACTTCTCAGTTTCTTCAAAGAGGAATATCCTGTTATTCACCTCATTACATTTTCTAAACTCTTATGTTCCTTGTACTTCTTTAAATATAATAAATAAAAAAAGTTTAAAATAACAGTTGCAGATCTTGTTTAGATCCACATTTTGTGTTTTATAATAAATAAATACATATTACTTATCTTCCATGACACTGACTATTCTAATCAAAATCTAGTTATGTAGAACATCAAACCAAACTTACTTGGAAGGATGTGAACAAGAATTAACATTTTATCATGGAAACAGAGGTTGACATATCATGTAGTACTATTTACATGCAGCAGCAAGACAGGTAAAAAGTTTGTTTTTCTTGAAACCTTCTAAAATGACGTTAATGATTTCTTCCATTACATCATTGATTATATATATTCTTAATGTGTATGCATAACAAACCAATTTTAATACAAATGATTAAAAGTTCAAGGACTCATATGGACATAAATTAAATTACCTCATTTGCTTTAGTAGACCTTACAATACTGAATTTCAATAAAATGAGCTGAATATTTCACAGATTAAACGTGAATAGACAGATATTGCCATTTCATTAGTATTGGTCATATGCATTCTGCAAAAGCAACACATGATAACTGATCATTCTGTTGGATATACATACTTCATGGTTCTGTTGGAGCGCTTTAGTTCTATGGCATGCTCATTTAAAACAGACTGCTGAAGGGTCTTAAGAGCTTTCTCAGTACCAGCTCTCTTCTTAAATTGGATAAAGCCATAGCCCAAAGAGAGAAGCTGTCCTGGGTTCTTTGGATCCTTCTTCATTGCCACTGACACTTCATGAACTGGACCACATTTCTTAAAATGCTGCACACAGAATATTTAAAGTAGTAATACTTAATAATATGTAATGTTCCTTACAATATGGCAGCGAAACATGGGCATAACAACATGTTATAACAAATGACAGATTTTTATCAATGATATATCTGAAATCAGTGCTATGAACTGCACTGAGAAGTAACATGAGAAGTGATGATGTACAAGATTGATCAGAAACTATAAGACAGAAGAAGATGTCCAGCAATATCAAAGGAAGTGGACATGATGGCCAATGAACATTTATCAATAGCAATTCACTTGGCCTTGGAACCCAACTTCTTGTTATGGAAGAAGCAAGAGTAGTAACACTGTTCTATAAAATATGATTAAAAGGGAAATATTACAAAATTAACTCAATGATGATTACCAAAGACTTATTTTGCTTACTTATGCAGTTATAAGTACCATGATATGTATCCCATAGACTCGTCTAGCACTGGATGTCTTATGTTGATCCTGTTTTTGGGTGATGGTCTTAAGTAGATGTGGCTGTATTGCCAATCCTTTGATATCCATCCTGCCACCATTTTAACAGAAAAATTACTACCAAATTATACTTGTAGTACAAGTCCACCAAAAACTCTTTTGCCCTGAAGATGGAATCAGTAAGGATTTACTAAAATGTCAGCATTACAGCTCACACAGACCCACAGTAATAAACAAACCTTCGGATTCCATAAAAAAACATAGAATCTGACTATCTGAGTGTACTATTAGCATCTCAGGAAGGACTTCGCTCCATGCGATTTGTTAGTTAGTTAGTGTTGTAGTCCTTCCAAGTAAATTCCAAGTGGGTTGGTATCATGTGATTTGGCACTATAAAAAGTCTGCAGTTTGAAAAACAATTGTTGAAAAGCCCAAGAATCCAACAACCAGATTCCAGGACATTGTCTCACAAAGCACTGTGATCCATTCTTATGTTATCATCATCAATTTGATACTAACTTCTCTAATATCCTCTTGATTTGTGCTGAAGTTCAGATTCTTGATGAAGAGTGTGGTGTCTGGTTCAGGAGGCTCATCTTCATCAGATGAATCACCACTGCTGTTGCCTGTTTCTGCTGAAACATTCTCCTTGCTGGAGTTACCACCTTCTACTAAAAAATATGATATGTCAGTACACTGCAATATATACCTGAAATATACATATTAATACCATATTTAAACAGAGTGATATAAACAGATTTAAAGCATTTTTCCGACTTCTGCTACTATTACTATTATATTTACCCTCACTACTCTCCAAAGTCTTGTTCTCCTTGCTTGGTTTCGATGATGGCATTTTGAAGGTATCAGATGGAGCCCATTCCAAATAAAGTGGCAAATGTTTAAATTTAGTATATGCCAATTTTGTGAAGGCAATCTTTGCTTCAGATGGTTCCAGAAACTCCACAATAGCTGTAAAAGACAAACCAGTATTAAAAAACAGACAATAACAAGTATAAATCCTAATCAATATATTAACATAGAAATTTGTTTCCAGTTGTGAATATTCACTATAAGATGATATTCCTTAAGAAATTATATTTATGATCAGAAAGAGATTAGCTAAGCCACAATATACATGGTACACAACATGAGACTGTAATACGCACATGATGCGATGGTAAAACTCAGAAGAGGACAAAAATGTAATCCTTAAAATATTAACACCATGTGTACCTGTACAAACAGTAAACCTGTCTCACTGCCAAAGTAAAAGGTTAAAAAAGCTCTATTACAAATCTGACTCTGTGACATTTTCAAGGTAGTCTTACCCCTGTTGCCATTTAAATAGAATTCCAAGATCACAAAGTGTGCCACTTAAGAAGGGCACGATGGACTGTTGACGCATCTCCAAATGAATCTTTTGTCCCTAATCTAGCATATTCTTTTATACTTAATAAAATATTTATTACCAGTAACACCAGTGGGTGGCATGACAACTCGTCCCAACTCCCCATACTTCATAAATATCTGTTGGATCTCTGTCAGTGATGTCCTAGCTGGCAGATTTTTTACCAGGATAACTGTTTTGGATCTCTGTTTTGGAGCCTGAAATAAAAATCAGACACAGCTCAGTATCATAAATTGTGGGAAAAACTTTCCATGCCTACTTTCATTTTAATGTTCTAATCTCTATAGTATAGTGGCAAGCACCAACAATAATTTTAATGTGTTTTCATTTCAACGATTTTAATTTGTACATAATTTATGAACTACCAGCAGTATGTTTTCACCAAAGCACTTCCTATTTAATCAGAAATTGTAGTGAAGTTATGATGTATTATTATATGCATACTATGAAATGTCTCAATAATTCTTAATTTTTCAGCAGTAAACTTGTATCTAAATAAGCCAACAATAATTTTCAAATGGCTCATAAAATTGATACCTGATTGAAAGCATCAAGATGGACACCACTCTCTTCCAGAACTTCTCGTATCTGGGATACAATTTGTGTTTCTCCCAAAGCCAATCTTACAGCTACACTTTGTTTTCCACTTGAATCCAGAACCTAAAAAACACCCAGTAAACAAATACCATAATATGTGCATCACTGAAACAAAGACACTGCTATGTAACTCCATGATGCAGGTTCTTCCTTGAAACTATGATAATTATTTGTTCATCTGAGATTTGAGGTTCCCACAGCAGCAAGTATGTCTTCTGGGATGTTGTGCCATGAGTCTTGTAGAAACTGACAGTCAACCAATGATGGAGACAGCAGGAAGTAAGCACCTCTGAAATGTCAGTTACTTTTCACAAAACTACACACTACAACATCTCAGCAATAATCTTCAGTTAATGAGATGGTAAAGAAACTCTGCTTTTACGTAACCCAAACATTTACTACCATGTTCATAAAAGCCCCCAGACCCTATTCCGAAGCATATGAATCCAGCCCATATCCTTAAATCCTATTTCTCTAATACTCACATTAATATTATACTCCCATCCTTTTAATTGTTCAGTAAAAGAAATACACCATAAATCGAGTCAATCAGTTATTTTGTTAGATGAATAGTTAACTCTAGAATTAAGTAACAACAAAGGAAATTTATACAAAGGTCCTTGTCCCTTTCTACCCAGTTGTTAATTCAGCAGGTTCATGAACAAAACAGAGAGTAAGTAAAACAAAATACAAAAAACAGAATATGGAAATGCTATCTGTAGAAACAGATGTTACTTTTGGCAGGCCTTGGACTCTGGCTGTGCTGTACACTTGGTTGAGTCCACCCACCAAAATGTATCATTCAGAGGTGCATGGGTCAGTCTGCTGACACCTGCCAGTGAAGCAGGTAAAGTTTTTAACATTTTAGTGAGAAAATACTAGCAAGCATAAAAACATCAGTTCTTTAGTATGCCCTTTTACAAACTACAGGTAAACTTGAAATATAAATAATTAAATTACTTTCACAGGTCCAATGGAAAGCAGCAAATATACTGCCTAATGTGAGGAGGAGAATTTACCCAAGTTAACATAAAGGTAATAAGATTCTGTCACTCCATAAGCAAATTTCTAATTGTACAGTAATATTTCCTCTTGTGCATCTTTCATGATCATCTTTAGAACCATACATTTAAGTAGGAAATTATTTTATGCATTTGCATCAACCAATTTCAAATATCTGAAATGTGTTACACTTGTTTTATATATTCATATTCACAAATTTAAAAATTAGAAACATTATTAGTAATGTTCTCCTTACAGTGACTACATTTGCTTTAATAAACATTACTTAACATTTAATTACTTTTAGTGCAAGTTTCACATCTAAGAAACAAAAATGACTGTAAGAAACTTTAGAACCCTTGAATATAAACCATAAATCAAAGAACAGAATTTTGGTTAAAATAAAATGTACTGAGACAAATAATCATACTGAAATTTGTACCTTATCTTTTGTTGTGTTGTATGTCTCGGCTATTAGATCTGCCACAGCATTCTGACCCAAAAACAGTGTGTTCCAATTATGGGACGAGGCAGCTTCTGCTTTCTTCTTCAGTAATTGCTTCTGTTTGAATGTCATCCCCTCTGCTCACAAAAGAAGCATTCCTTTAGATATCATCAAAATGCCTTATGGTACCATTATGTCTGTCCCTCCTCTAACAGTGTTTGAACCAAGAAACAGATTTTACACACAAACATTATATAAACATCTTTATTACACATCATGGATCCATAAGTTAGTCATGACAATAGGATGTGGAATAAGTCATAACAATACAATACATACATGCAAGTACAATTCACACTATCATATAGATTTCACATAGTTGAAGCAAAGGATTCACATAGAGTGGTGGTATCTTACAATCATATTTATTAGATTTAAGACTTTACATCGAGGTCAGAGTCAGTACATTTTTACCGACTCCGACTCCACCTAAAATTACTTCCAACTCCACAGCCTTGGTATGAACAACACTCCAGGCCAATTCTCTTTTATAAATTATAAACACTTAAAGGACTGGGCAGCTGGTTGCATATCCCCTTTGTCTCTACCAGGGACTTTTTAAGACACCAAATTTCACACAAAAAAGATCAGTCATGAAGTACCATAATCAAAAATTAAAGACTGAACTCTACAGGAATACCTACTAACACCTACAACCAGTACAGTTTAAAATGTTCATTAAAACTAAGAATCAATCTATACAAATGAAAGAACTAAAAAGGAAGTAGTTCTTTCAAGAACTTTTTGGTTCACATTTTAATTTACCCTTTTCCATGAGTTCTTCTAAGGACTGCTTGGCTTTTCCTGGAAGCAGATGAAGCATTCGTCCATGGAATATGGAACCATCCAATTCCATGAATGCTCTGGCAGCATTCTCAGGAACAAGAAAAGTCACAACAGCATAACCCTTCACTTTTCTTGTGTTACGATCCACAGGCATTATGACTTCAGTTATTGGACCTGCAGAGACAGCCTGTTTTAGTATATGAGGTAGCTTTTATGCCCAGATTTCATTACATAAGCTGAACTATGTTCACATCTCCATCATAATATTGCAACAAAACACCTTCAAATTAGCAGATGTATATAATTATTTAAGTCAAAGAAAATATATAAAATAAATATGAAAAGAATGGATATGCAAGGCTAGAAAGAATGAAAAGGCTTTAACCATCCTTGAGGGAATGTCAATGTGTATCTAATAATTCATTTCTATACAATTAAAATAAACATCATTTCAAAAGTGTGAACTTGGAAGTTACACTGCATTGACATCTGCTTGCCTTGATGAAAAGCTATTGACAGTGCAAATGGTTAGTTTCCAAAAGCAAAAAATGATCTTAATAAGTTATGTATGTTGTAAATGTACAGCTACAACATGTCTCATAATGTTCTGAGTCCACGTTATGAATAGTTTCCTCAGTATACTGGAAATTTAAGCATTTATCTATAACAGCATAAAATATGACAGCAGACTCACCAAACTTACTAAAAAGTTGTTCAATATTATCCTCACTGATTGTGTAGGCAAGATTTCTAACAAAGATTCTTCCAGATTCTGCTATGGTCTCTTCATTTTTCAAATTTTCTTCTTGGTTCTTCCACTTACTGCTGTCCCTTCCTGTTACAGTTTTGGATATGGTGTCCTTCTCTACATACTTTGTTACCATTATCCTCTTTCCAGCTGCGTGCAGCAAAACACATCATTCAGTAATTTTATATGCTGCAATATTTGTTACTTAACAGTTACAATCCTCAATTTCAGTCTCATTTCTAATGCGTATCAGTGACTAGTTTTCTTTACTTTCCTTATTCTACAACCATTTATTTAATATTCCAAATAACCTGAATGTATCCTTTTCTTTTTTTCTCTTTTGTTGTATTTCCAACTCAAGTATATTGTAGGCCTATTCAGTGTAAAACTAGGCTGTAAATTAATTTAAATAAATATATATAATTAAAATTGCTAATATTTTTTAACAGAAACACTTAAAATCATACCAGAAAATTTCATGGTGACAGGAAGAGGTGTACATAGCTTGAAATCTAGCACAAGATTTAAAAATGTGTGGGGCTTCACCTCCACACTTTCACAGCAGAGGATTCAGGCACAGGTACAACTTTTATTTACACTCTTCAGTTTGGTTTCACTTACATGATACACAGAGTATTTAAATGTCTGTTGTTCAATATCATCCTTGGTGATGGTGTAGAAGATATTTCTCACAAACATTCTTTTATATTCTACACAGGAGCCAAAAAAAGCTAATAGTTACTAAGTAGCTCAAGAATACCATATCTTATGGAACCTATAGGCTCATTATCATGATAACAAAAGTCTGCCAAAGAACTCTACTCTACCTTTACATCCTATTTATCTAATATCTATTTTAATATTACTCTACCATTTATGCCTCACTTTGCCCAAGAGTTTTCCTTCCTTCAAGATTACTAACCGAATTGTATGCATTTCTCAATTCACCCATGCATGCTACATGCTCATCACTGATTTAACCACTAATATCAGATGAAGAGTATAAATTACGAAGCTCTTCATTATGTAATTTTATCTGTCATCATTTCACTTCCATGCTTAGGTACAAGTACTTACATCAGCACTTTGTTAAACACAAATTACTTTCAAAAGGAAATAAGGTAAGTAAAATAAATGACATGTCGTACTGAATGAAGTTCCAAACTAATCTAACCCAACTTAATGATAATCCACCCCTTTAGCAACATACCACTGCAGATGGTCGTTTGCACATGCAAAAAAGTGAAATCTAAGGGGAAAGTTTACATGAAAATACAATTGCCAAGGAAAACAAAAAGCATTAATCTTAATTATGTGCCTTACCTAAGAAAGTTAAATGTTTGATTAGAGCCTGCCTCACTTCTTTCTCTGATTTGAAACCAACATAAGCAATGCCTTTGCTTTTTGGAGGTAACCTGACACTTTTAGGTTTCAGAGGGTGAAAAAACTGTTTGACATCTTTCTTCTTAGCTTTGTATGCCAAGCCCCTGACTTTTACTGTGAAAAACTGAACTGATGGCATCTGTGGTTTATTCTCAAGTTTTAACTCCAAATGATCCCCCTTTTCTTTCTTCAAATAATTATCTTCTTCTGCTTCTCTCACAGTCTTCATCTTCAAATACTGAAATAAACACAACATACAAACATAGCATAAGCAGGAAAAGGAGCATGCATAGTCCCTTCCCTAAAAATATGTTATATCAAAAAATTAATTAAATACAAGTAATAGATCAGAGCTTTATATTTTCATATGCAAATTTCTTGTAAGATGAACTATTTTTGTGGAAATCAGTAAAGTTTGAGTTGAATGTCATGTAATGAAAATTATATGAAGAATAAGAGGAAGATGTGGCATGTAGCATGAAAAGGGGATCAGTAAAGAAGATGAGAGACATGATTAAAAGAAAGCTAATATGGTGAAAGAATATGACAGAAAGCAAAATGAGAGAAAGGGAGATTTGAGAATTCCCTCTGCATTCTCCTGTTAGTACATGAACCAACTTATCTCAACAAGTCTTTGACTTTAAGGGAAGAATATAAATTAATTATATTTAAGACTGAAGTGCTATGGTAATAAAATATTGTAGAACATTATATAGTGAAAAGATTAGTAATTTGCATTCTCTGCCTACTATGAAGAAAAATCAAGGATGAGATGGTCAGCTGTAGTACGAACATATGGGGGAAATGCACACAAACTTTTGTTCAGAATACCTCAAGGGAAGACATGAGGGAGACCTGGAAACATGGAAGACAGGATAATACTAAAATGGATCTGAGAAACATACATGAAGAAATGACTCAGGATAAAGTCAAATAACAGGCTTCTGTGAACAAAGTGCTGAGCCTCTGGTTTCCATAAAAGTAGTGAGTTTCTAGACTTTCTGATTCACTATTAGTTGTTCAAGACCTTGCACAATGGAGTTAGTAATTGACAAGCCTAACAAAATAAAACTGTCTTGAAATTTCAGTTTTACTATATTTAAGTCCACAAGCAAGTAGATTTTAAACTTTGTCCTTGACTATGTGAATGTGACAAACACTTGTCATTGTTTCTTCAGACATCTGAACATATGAACAAACATACCTCTAGGTCAGAGATTTTTTTCTTGGCAATATTCCCTTTCACTTCCTCTTCATCTTCGGATTCTGAGACAACATTACTTTCATGACCTGAATCATCATCTGCATCTAATAAGGATGGTTCTTTCTCAGGCCTTATATTTTTTGAGTCTTCATTCAACAATGTGTCATTACTCCATAGAGCTTTGGTACCTTTTGCATGAGTCTCCATAAATTCAACAAACAATGGATCATTTTTATGCTGAAATGAAGAACCAAATTCAAAACAACTGGTTCAGAACATAGAAAAAATTTTACACTATAAATTACTAAAATAATACCTATACTACAGACAACTATCTGTGTGGAACTGATATGATCACTACCAACTATATCTGAAGGTAGATCATTCAGTGTTTACAAACACGTTCATTGCCCCCAGGAAGTTACATGAAGTAAAACATTACCTACATTAGCTAGATTAAAACTGAATGAGTTCTGTCTCAGTGTTATGGTATGACCTGCTCATAGGCCATCTTACAACAGAATCTACAGCTGTTACTTCACTGCCATTTTCCATGACATAAATGTGATCACACACACTACTGGGTTCATACAGATAACATAAAGGGATTGTAATACAAGAAATAATGAACCCCACACCATCTATTTAAAGATCTATATAATAAATCAAGAATGACTGCAATTACACTAGTGGCAGTTACAAGAAAATCAAACCATGTAATATTAAATAAATGCACAAGTATATCTATAATAAAAGGGCTTCCATCCTAATGACATCCCTCTAAAATTAAATATGATTCAAATCAAAATTAGGAAAATATTATCACATAAATACTTTACACAAATAACACAACAAATATGAGTCCTGATATCTCATAATACCTTGTCTACAAGTTCTTGCACTTTACTGTCTTTCTTTTTTTCCTCACCGGACTTCCTATTATTCTCTTCAATTTCTTTTTCCTTAAATACTCCATGTTGTTTCTTAAATGCTGAGCTGTCTGGTGCATATCTACTCCATGCCTTTGGTTTACTTGGGTCACCTATAGTAAAAAGTACATTGACACTGACTGATTCTTAGTGTGTACGTGTCTCTGTGTGTGCATGTATTCTTAAGTTAATCACTGACACTATTTATACTACGCAGATTATACAGTGCTGAATGCTGAATAGACAAGGATTTGGGAAAATGCTGATGCAGCTTATTTCCTATCACCTATCTGTGAAGACTGAGGAAAAACACAAAGAGCTTCAGTCACTTAAACGTACAGTACTTCCAAAATATCATAACTACAATGTTACCATTATACAGTTAGCAACATGAAAATACGTTTACGTTATTAGAAAGGAAACAAAATATAAAATGCTTTCACTTTGATATAAGCACATTTACAATTTGAAAATGAAAAAGATTATATTATATTAGAAATTAAACAGAAAGATTGTTATTTTTTCAACAATTCATCTGTAATTTTGTGCCCTCTTGATGTATTTTTAATGTGAAGCAAGTATCATATAGACCATTTGAATGTACAATACAATGTGTTATTCTATATGTATAATATTAACGATACACTAAAGTGAAACTGTCACTTACCTAAACCAGCACATAATTCAACTTTTATCCTAGATGCTTTGATACAACTATTATTAAAGTACAATACAGCATTTTCTGCTTCTTCTTCAGTCTTAAAACCTACAAATCCAAATTGACGAAACCTTCCATCCTTTGTATACTTCAACTGGACATCTGTTACAATGCCTTTCTCACTAAATATTTCATGAAGTTTTTCTGTTGTAATCTGCAACATAGTTAAATACAAGTTAGGAGTTGTACACAAAGCATTGCAATGTTGATGTTTTTGTCAAAATATACCCATTAACCTTTGTAAATAGTCAGGGATTTCCTTTCTGAGAGAACACAGATGTGCATGAATGTCTTCATGGAAAGTCCCAAGTACAACTTAACAGTAAAACTCTCTGATATCAAATTCAAAGGAACATTCAGCTGTTAACAACTTGTTATATGCATATGGATGGATGGACAATTCTATTTCAACAGGTGCT